GGCCCCAGACACATCCCCAAACTAAGCAGCTCCGACAAATTTACGCGGAAAATTGCGGGACACTTTTCCCGCCAAAAAATACTTGTATATATAGACCTAATCTGGTCCCAAATAAGGGTTCCTATGCTCATCTCTTCCTAGAAGAGGGCACTCTTAAATATAGACTCTCAAAAGGGGCATTTGTGAAAAGGTGTATAGAAAAAGGGGCATTTTCACAATTTCTCTTAAAACTTTAAGTGTTCTCTATTTAATATAATATTTGGGATAAAAATTTTTTTTTTATAATTGATAATTTTTTAAATTTGGTGTAAACTAATTGGACACAACATCCAAACCTCTAAGAGATGTTGTAGTTTTAAAAACAAAACTAAGTGTTAAATACAAATACGTTGAAAGCTAGTTGGACTTAGCATCCCGTCCTTTTGGTCCGTAAATAAAAGATGTCATAAGTTCAATATGTTTCACGTCATGAAAATTAACACTTAGTTATGTTTTAAACGGTTTTTAAAATAAATTTAATTAAAAATTTTTGTTTAAATATATTTCTTTATTTGAAAGTAAATATTTTCAAATATTTGAACGATTTATTAGTTCATTTTCTTTATATTCATATTAGTCCATTCTATTAGTACAATTATTATTATTTTTGTTAAATTCTGTTAGTCCATTTCATTGTTCATTTTTATGGTCAATCAAATTATAATCATCTAGTTTCATGCTAAAATTTCGTATAGATATTATCTATAAGGAATGATAGTTACAGAATATTCAATATATGATAATTTATTTACAAATATTGACGAGTGAAAAGATAAATACGTTATTTTGAAAGGGAAATAAGAATTACAGAATTTATGGACAAATTGGCCATTTCGTTTGGTTACTTGTGGAATAGGATAACGGGAGGAGGCAGATTTACGTGGTCCATCTAGCACCGTCAGATTGTAGTCAAATTAAGAAAGTGTGCGGTTCTGATTCTTCGAAGTACCCATTTTACGTGGGACCCATTTAAGACAAATGGTCCCGCTTCTTTGTTTCTTCTTTCCACTTGTGACCTTTGCCATTGCCAACATTACTGGACGACAAAATCGCCTGCGCTTTCTTCATACATACAATTTTTCTTTTTAATAGATTTTTTTTTAATTTTTATAAAATGATAAAATTTTTATTTTTAATAATAATTTTAACTTAATGCTTACAAAAATGTGTTTGCCTTATCTTGTGTTAATAATCCTTAATGATAATAATTGTGATAAAACTAATGATCAAAGAACGTGTGATTGTTTGAACTAATTACTAGCTTGATTTAATTATATGAAACCATACAAAAATATCTGGACGACAAGCTCGTAATTAAAAAAAAAAAAAACACACATTTTTGTACCAGTGTTGGTGAGCCGTAGACCTACTAATGTGATTTCTTAGACTCTTGGACAGTTTTCTTCCAGTTTTGTGGATAAAATTATCAGACAATTTCGAATACATAAATTTAGTTTAAATATTTTATTTTTGCCGAAACAAATATATATTATCATAGCAAAAGAAATTAACAATTTAATTTTTAATTTTTAAAAAACTGGTTCGGACGCAGAGAGCATGAACTTGTTATAAGAAATAGAAGCGGGGGGCACAAATAGAATAATCCAGAAAGCAGTGAACAAAAAGCGTAGAAATAAGAGAATCCATTCAGGCCCATTAACGACTTAAAAGGCCTTGAAAAGGTAATAAATCATTCTGAAACAAGGAAGGAAATTTCGAACAAGACAAAAGACTAAAAAGTCCATGGAAAGAAAAGATAATTACAGAAAAATGCCATGGACGTCCATAAAAAGCCATTCTAGCCATCTGACTATTGAATCTCCGCCCTTCCTTCCTTATCACTCTCAAACCTTTTTTTACACACACTCTCTCTCTCTCACACCGTTTCTCCAGTTTCAGCTTTTTTTCGAACCACTAATCAAACTCTCTTATAAACTCTTTATCATCATTATTATAATTCTCCTTTTTAAATTTTCATATTTTTCTTCTGGTAGCTCAATAAACTTAGCTCCCGCTCTTCCATCCCACCTCGGTAATCATAACAATTTTATTATTAGTTTTATTATAAGTTCGTGTCATGTTAAGAGATATTTCAAAAAAAACGTATTGTTTTGGATTAGATTTTGTACGTTCTATGTAGTTTATTGTTCTTTGGGTTTTGTTGTATAATGGGTTCTTCATGAGCTTTGAGTGGTTATAAACTTACAAAATTGTACATTTGACAATGGGATTATTGTAATTAACCAATGGAATTCTTTTTCAGCAATTATTTGTTTATTTCAATAAAAGAAAAGAAAAAAAGCTCTAGAAGAAATGGCTCCCAAGAACAACCGTGGAAAGACAAAAGGAGACAAGAAGAAGAAGGAAGAGAAAGGTACCACCAACCAACAACGAAAACCTTAATCTATTTGAATTTCATTAAAATTAGTTCTTAACCATTAACTTCGTATGATAATTAATTTCTAAGTTATGTATGAGAGGCATGATGGTTTTACGCCTTACGGTTTATGTGCAGTTCTCCCGGTTATCGTGGATGTCATTGTAAACCTTCCGGATGAGACGGAGGCTATTTTGAAGGTTTGTGTGTGTTTTATTTTCTACCATCATTTTCGAATTATGTAAAATTCTCATATTTCTTGCGTGTTTACAACTGTTTTTTTGGTACCGATTTTTCTGTGAAATTTCTTTATAATCCCTTTGTTTTAAATATTACATTAGTTTTCAGTATTGAACTTATAGCATATTCATGAAACTTTATCTTGATATTTTCAAATTGTTTATTTTTCTATAATCATAAATAGTATTTTAAATTTTATTTCTGATATAAACTCCAAATGTGCAATCGTTTTTTTTTTTTTTTTTTTTTTTTTTTTTTTTTTTTTTTGTGATGTCGTTTTTTGGAGATAAGGCAAGAATACACGTTACCATAAAATTTATACTTATACTTGTTGTATTTTTGGTTTGAAAAAAAAAATCATTTTCTATTGACTTACAATTATCTTCTTGAATTTTAACATTATTTGAACGTGTAGAAAAATACAAACCAGTGTGTAACACACAAATTCGATTGTTAAATAATTCAATAGTTTTTCATAATTCTGGTCAATAAAATTACGTAGACGTTACATAGATAGTGAAATGTTTATATAGAAAACATGTATATCTCTTTTTCCTCGTCAGAAAACATGTTTATCTATATTCATATTTTGTTACCCGAATATTTGTTAAAAATGTTTTCTTGTATGTAGTGTTAGTGAAAATTGTAAGCCCTATGTTAGGCATAGGTTTCACATGTTTGTTATATCAAAAATAAAATGATCAAAAGTGGATTTAATAGAAAAATGTCTGAAACAGGGCATATCAACGGACAGGATCATAGATGTTCGGCGGCTTTTATCGGTTAACTTTGACACTTGCCACGTCACCAATTATTCACTATCCCATGAGGTAAATAATATGAGTGAAATGTTGAGAGGAAGTTTCTGATAATCGTTTGAATATCCTTTTCCATTTCTCTTGGTTATTGTTAGTTACTTGTTTTTTTGGTTCACAATTGTTGGTTACTAGTTAACGTTTGATGGTCCCAAAATATTCATATTTATTGTGGAATCTCTTAGGATCCTAAAAAAAAGTGAGCAAAAAGTAAGGGAAAATGACTTTCTATGAGAAGAAAAAATGTTAGTGTCATTGTGCCTAAGAATTTTTGCTAGTCTGACAATTGAGTTTCCTTTTCTTACATTAGATATGTTACCAGAATTGCCTAATTCAAAATAATCCCATAAAGGGTATAAAAAATTGACTGTGGTAAATGTGAAATCAAATTTAAGTCTGACTCCAGCTTGAAAAATATTCTCGTTGCAGATAAGAGGATCGCGGTTAAAAGACACGGTAGATGTGTCGGCGCTTAAACCCTGCGTTCTCACGTTAACGGAAGGTAAATCTCTCCGCGCATCAATATGACGCCGTTACCGCGGCGTAACGGAAATAAATAAGAAGTCCTAAAACGATGCCGTTTCTTATTTATTTGACAAAACGACGTCACTTTTTGAGTTTCGTGCGCTTTATTTAATTCGTGAGACCGTTGTGATTTTATTTGTTGCAGAGGATTACAATGAAGGAACAGCAGTGGCGCACGTTAGACGGCTGCTTGACATCGTCGCCTGCACCACTTGCTTCGGTCCATCGCCGGAGAAATCAGACTCCGTGAAAAGTGCGCAGGTTAAGGGAGGTGGAAAGAATTCCAAACACTCGGAAACATCGCCTCCGCCGTCTCCTGCGTCGAAGGATGCGGTGGTTGATGAAGCCGGAGAAACTAGCCACTCATTCCCTAAGCTTGGAAGTTTCTACGAGTTGTTCTCTCTCGCTCATCTCACTCCTCCTCTTCAATGTATGCTCGTATTTCTCTCTCCCTTAAACCCTAGATTCGATTTCCTGCTTTGATCGATTTTGTCCCAACTTACAGTAATTAGGGTTTTATAGATATTCGGCTTGTGACTAAGCGGGAGACCGAAGATATAGCGGCGGAAGATCATCTTCTCTCCATTGATGTAAGTCGATGATGATGAATTACAATAAATTTCAATTGGTTGTTTCTCGATGTATCAATCGGCTTTTGTTGATATCGTTTACGTATTAAATTTTTATCAGGTGAAGCTTTGTAATGGAAAGATCGTTCATATTGAAGGTTGCAGAAAAGGATTTTACAGTATTGGGAAACAAAGAATCATATGTCACAATCTTGTTGATTTGCTTAGACAAATCAGTAGAGCCTTTGATAATGTAGGTCTTGTTTTGGCTGTCTTATGTTCATATTTTGTTTCTGAATTTTGTGTTGAACGTGATTGTTTATCTTATTCTTTTATCATGTTTAGGCTTACAGTGATCTTCTGAAAGCATTTTCGGAGCGCAATAAGGTATATTTTCTATCTAAATGAGGATTTAGTGGATGTTTGAATTGGGTGTAGTTAATGAGCATTTCATTTGTTTGCAGTTTGGAAATCTTCCATATGGGTTTAGAGCTAACACATGGCTCATCCCGCCTACTGCGGCGCAGTCACCAGCAGAGTTTCCGCCTCTCCCTGTTGAGGATGAGAGATGGGGAGGGGATGGTGGTGGTCAAGGGAGAGATGGCAGTTACGATTTGGTTCCATGGTCCAACGAATTTGCCTTTATTGCATCTATGCCTTGCAAAACAGCTGAGGAGAGACAAGTCAGAGACAGAAAAGTGTTTCTTCTTCACAACCTCTTTGTTGATGTCGCGACTTTCAGAGCCATCAAGGCTGTTCAGAAAGTAATGGCTGAGCCAGTACTTGCTGAAGAAGACTCCGAAGTTCTATATTCCGAGACAGTTGGAGACTTGAGTGTTACGGTTACAAGGGATACTTCAAATGCAAGTAGTAAAGTGGATACAAAAATTGATGGAATTCAAGCCACTGGTTTGGATAAAAAGAAGCTGATGGAACGGAACCTTCTCAAGGGACTTACTGCTGATGAAAATACTGCTGCTCATGTCAGTGTTTTCTAAAACTTCCCCACTCTTTCCATGTTTAAATTTTTGTTTTCTTATGTGTATTGTTTAACTTTGGTTTTAAAATTGTTTATGGGTGCAGGATGTTGCTACTTTAGGAACTATAAGTCTTAAGTACTGTGGTTACATTGCTGTTGTGAAAATAGAGAAGGAGAGTGGGGAGGTAAGCCCACCTTCTCAAATTGTTGACCTCCTTGAACAGCCTGAAGGTGGTGCTAATGCTCTAAATATCAACAGGTGATCATTTCTTACTTTATGAAAAGACATCCTTTGTCTCTTTAGCGTATGTTGTTATTTACAGTGTAACTTTTTTTATGTTGCTTTACAGTTTGAGATTCCTTCTCCATAAATCCTCTCTTGAGCAGAACAAGAAAACACCTCAGCAACAGGATGATGAGCTTACATCTTCACGGGAATTTGTTAGTAAAATGCTGGAAGAAAGCATTGTTAAGCTTGAGGAAGAAGAGATAGACAGGGATAGTATCATGAGATGGGAGCTTGGGGCTTGTTGGATACAGCATTTACAAGACCAAAAGAATACAGAGAAGGACAAAAAACAAACCAGTGAAAAGTCTAAGAATGAATTGAAGGTTGAAGGGCTTGGAAAACCGCTTAAGTCTCTCAATAGCAGCAAGAAAAAAACAGATGTAAATAGCCCTAAGACGCCGGTATCGTCTCAAGTTGATGCGATTTCTTCAGAGGCTGATATTGCTGCAACAACTGCATCTTTGCAATCCGATGCTGAGAAGAATGCTCAAGAAAATGTGCTCATCTTGAAGAATTTGTTGTCTGATGCAGCCTTCACTCGCCTAAAAGAGTCAGATACTGGACTTCATCACAAGGTTTTTACACTACAACTCCAGCTTTTGCTCTATGTTCATTTACTTATTGTGTGCTAACCAAGAATATTTGTTTCACAGTCTTTGCAAGAACTTGTCGACTTGGCACAGAATTATTATACTGAAGTTGCTATACCAAAACTGGTAAAAGATCTAAATTTTGTTGTAGTGTTGTCTATTGGTAATATTAAGATAGTAACAAATCATTGTTTTTATTTATCATTGAATACAGGTTGCAGATTTTGGTTCGTTGGAGCTCTCCCCAGTCGATGGCCGGACTCTAACTGATTTTATGCACACAAGAGGTCTTCGGATGCGTTCTTTAGGATATGTTGTAAGTTGGCTTTCTTAACCTCATAGTTCCTAGAAACTATTCAAGATGAATTTTTGATCATCCATATCTTTTTTATGGTTACAATAGGTGAAGCTTTCAGATAAATTGTCACATGTACAATCTCTATGTGTTCATGAGATGATAGTAAGAGCCCTTAAGCATATCCTCCAGGCGGTGATTTCTGCTGTTGCTACTGACACTGACAAAGTAGCTACAAAAGTAGCTGCTGCTTTGAACATGATGCTTGGGATTCCTGAAAATGTTGCAGCAGCACCACATAACTCTTGGAATGTAGATCCTCTGATCTTCCGGTGGTTGGAGAAATTCTTGAAGAAACGATATGATTATGATCTTAATGCCTTCAGTTACAAGGATCTACGGAAGTTTGCCATTCTCCGTGGATTATGCCATAAGGTAATTTATGAATGCTCTAACCAGAAAATTTGATTGTTATAAATTTGTTGCTAATTACTATATTGAATAATGAATTTTGATGTAAATTTTATTTGTCAGGTTGGTATTGAGTTGATTCCAAGGGACTTTGACATGGATTCTCCTGCACCTTTCCGGAAAACAGATGTGGTCAGTCTTGTCCCAGTGCATAAGGTAATGGACAAGACAAAAGATATTTGGAAAGATTGTCTATCGGAATCTGGTTTCTTTCTAATATGTTAGTCAACCATCGTTATTCAGACTTTCTATTTAAAATCTCTGCAGCAAGCAGCATGTTCATCTGCTGATGGAAGGCAACTTCTGGAGTCATCTAAAACAGCTTTAGACAAAGGAAAGCTTGAAGATGCAGTTACATATGGAACGAAGGTACATGTCTACTCCTCAGCTACTTCTTATTAGTTGTTTTTTTGTACAGCGTCATGATTTTGTTTTGTTTTGTCTCTTTTGTTTTTTTTCCTCCGTTAGGCTCTTGCTAAACTTGTAGCAGTTTGCGGTCCCTATCACAGAATGACAGCCGGAGCTTACAGTTTACTTGCTGTAGTTCTATATCACACTGGTGACTTTAACCAGGTCTGTATATATATATATGGTTAGGTTGTGATATCTTTCCTTTATATGACACTTGAAAAACTAAAAGATTTTGTTAAAACAGGCTACAATATATCAGCAAAAGGCTTTAGACATCAATGAGAGGGAACTTGGACTTGATCATCCAGATACAATGAAGAGTTATGGTGATCTTGCTGTCTTCTATTATAGGCTTCAGCATACAGAGCTGGCTCTCAAGTAAGTTTCGCACTCTCGTTTTACAAAGAACCACGAGGTTAGATTGTTTGAATGTTTGATGTCTCTTTCTACCATCTAAACTTTGATATATATGTTTTTGTTAGGTATGTTAAGCGTGCGTTGTATCTCTTACATCTCACATGCGGTCCATCTCATCCAAACACTGCTGCTACATACATCAATGTAGCCATGATGGAAGAAGGTCTAGGAAATGTACACGTTGCGTTGAGGTATCTTCACAAAGCTCTCAAGTGTAATCAAAGGTTGCTTGGTCCGGACCATATCCAGGTTCTTTTCCCGATGCTCTTTGTGGTTTTTTAGAACAGAAATTTATATGAAATTTGATTTGATTTGCTAATATGTTCTAATTATGTCAAATTTCAGACTGCTGCAAGCTACCATGCCATAGCAATTGCGCTCTCGTTGATGGAGGCATACCATTTAAGTGTTCAGCATGAGCAAACAACCTTAAGAATCCTCCGAGCAAAGCTGGGGCCAGATGATTTACGTACTCAAGTATGTATTACCGTGATATCCCATCAGCCAAATTAGTCATCTTTCTGAGAACTGTATGCATTCTTTAAATATGACAATTGATTATATACTTCAGGATGCTGCTGCTTGGCTAGAATACTTTGAGTCCAAGGCTTTTGAACAACAAGAAGCTGCGCGAAATGGTACTCCGAAGCCAGACGCGTCTATAGCCAGTAAAGGCCACCTAAGGTCAAACAAGTTCCTTAGATATCTCCTTATTTGTTGTTTATAAGTTTTTATGTTGTTTGAATGTGTCAATCAAGTGTACTCCTTGGCCAGATCCTTAGGTTGATAATGTTTTGCAGTGTATCTGATCTACTCGACTATATCAACCCAAGCCAAAACGCAAAAGGGAAAGAGAGTGTTGCAGCAAAGAGGAAGAACTATATTATGAAGGTATAATTTTTATTTCTTTGACATTTCTCCACTTTAAAGGTTAAAAGTGCTTAATTCGTTGGACCTGTGTTATGTGTAGCTAAAGGAAAAATCCAAGCAGAGCAATGTTTCTGACCACTTGGCAGTGGCAGACACTCCGAGAGAAAATCAAAAGGAGATGTCTGAGGAGGAGACGGAAGAAACTGGATCAGAAGAAGGTAAATCAAGCGAAGACAATCATGACACAATTCTTGCACCAGTAGAAGAATCACCTTCTCCTCCAGTCATTGAGGAGGCTATTATGGATAACAGTAATCCAATTACATCTGGTGAAGTTTCGACTGAGCTACAACACCCTGATGGTAGTGAAGATGGATGGCAACCGGTGCAAAGACCGAGGTCTACTGGATCATATGGTCGCAGGATGAAGCAACGACGAGCATCCATCGGGAAGGTATATACATATCAGAAGAAGAATGTTGAAACTGATATCGATAACCCTCTTTTCCAGAATGCTACTAAACAGAACGGCAAATACTACATTCTCAAGAAGAGAACAGCATCATATGCAAGCTATGCAGATCATCATTCTCCCGGTTTAACAACTCAAGGCACCAAATTTGGCAGGAAGATAGTTAAAACCTTGGCGTATCGGGTTAAATCGATGCAGCCATCTTCTGGTAGCACTAAGACTGCTGGTGAAACTTCAGAAGAAGATGGGTTGAAGACAGATGCTTCTTCTGTTGAGCCATCTACTCTGTCTAGTACAGTGCAAAGTGAAGCCTACCACACGAAAAACTCTGTTGTAAGTCTTGGAAAATCTCCATCCTACAAAGAAGTAGCACTGGCACCACCTGGTTCCATAGCCAAGTATCAAGTCTGGGTTCCACAAGCTGAAGTTTCAGATAAGCAAGAGGATGATGAGGTGGAGAAAAAAACTGAACAGGGTACATCAATGGAGCTTACGGGGGATGAGAAAATGATAACAGGGTTAGAGGAAGAGGTAAAAAAAGAAATTTCTGCAGACACAGAATCTAACAGAACTCAAGGCGAAGAAGAGATCAAAGTAGAGTTACAACCATCTGAAGGTGTAGTAGGAGGAAACCTTTTGAATGAAAATGAAGAATCTGGAGGTGGCATTCAGGTGGAAGAACAAGTCGAACCTAAATTGATAGACGACCGTGTAACAGATATGATTCATTCGACCAGAGAGCAAGAAGTGATAGATCAATTAGCTGCCGATTCCGAAGATCTGAAGGCAAAACTGTTAATATCTACCACAGACTCAGGCGATGCCTCACGAGGATTGTTACCTAACAAGAAGTTATCTGCGTCAGCTGCTCCATTCAACCCATCATCACCTCCAAGTATTGTACGTCCTACTCCAATAGGCATGAACATTGGACCGTCGTGGCCAGTGAACATGACTCTCCATCACGGACCTCCTCCTCCTTACCCTTCACCTCCAACAACTCCAAACTTGATGCAGCCAATGTCCTTTGTTTACCCACCTCCTTACACTCAATCAGTCCCCACAAGTACTTACCCTGTAACAAGCGGTCCTTTTCATCCCAATCAGTTCCCATGGCAGCTCAATGCGTCAGATTTTGTACCAAGAACGGTTTGGCCCGGATGCCATCCCGTTGAGTTTCCCCCTCCGCACATGATCACGGAGCCAATAGCTGCAACTGTGTTAGAGCCAACTGTGATTCTGCCAACGGATATTGACACATCAGGGTTAGAAGAAGAAAACAAAGAAGAAGGCAGGCAAGATGTGGCAGTTGACCATGTGAACAACGCAGTTGCACGCAGTGAAATGGAGAATGGAAACCGGAAATCCGAGGATGGTGAGAAAACTTTCAGCATTTTGTTAAGAGGGAGGAGAAACAGGAAACAAACACTGAGAATGCCAATCAGTTTGCTTAATCGACCTTATGATTCTCAACCGTTCAAGCTTGGTTATAGCAGAGTGATCAGAGACAGCGAGGCTCCAAAGTCTGTAGCTTGAAACACTCTCCAAAGATTCAGCCAATTCGACGAAATGCAAAACTCACACACACATCTCTGATCTTTGCTGTTTCATAGGGACAGTATAAAGGTTAGCTTCTCTAAACTCTTAAACTGAATCTTCAAAGGCATGCATATAAGTTATATGATATAAGATTGATATGTATTTTAACTTGGTGATCTCTAAATTCGCAGGTAGTTTTGTTATTAGTCAAGGGAAACTGAGGCTTGTGATAGCCTCGAAATGAAGTTACAATGATTTGGATTTTAACCGGGATTGGTTGTGCAGAGGGAAAAAAAGCCAAACCATTCTTTTGTTTACCAAGTGAGGTGATGTATCATTTTTCTGGGGTTTTTTTTTTTTTTATTTTAATTCAGCCAATAAAACGTAGGAAATTTTGGACATAATTTTTTTGGTTCTCCATGTTTAAACGTTAGTTTTCACTTAATTTACTTCCGTATTTGTCATCGATTACATCACATTCCTAACGGTTCACTACATGAAAAGTCGAAAGTATAAACTTGTTTATTGTATCAGTTATTAGATGATATTTCCACTGAATAAACCCAAGGTAAGTTTAAACCAAAAAAATTTGAGGGAAAAAAAATATAATAACTAAACGTGGATTGTGTCACCGCCGTGTCCTCCACTCTCAAGCCATTCCTCCGATCACCGCCGGTGGTTCATCCCGGACAAGACCAATCTGACCATCATTACTTCCAAACGGATTTTCACCTTCGTAATTTCCCGGTGGGTTATAAACACAAATGGCGTAAACGCCGCCGTTTGAACAATCCACACGTGCGCATCCAACCTTGGTACTATCTCTCCACACGATCTGCGTGTAATGTCCACACATGTGTTGCGGCTCACACGTGTTACCTCTCACGTCGTAGAATTTATTCTCATCGGCCCACACGTTAACAATATCTCTGGGCCTCCAGTTATTCTGTCCGGCCCAAAATATGTTTTCTCCATACGGCCCGTTAGAGTGAACAAGCCTACAATCTCCCACGCGCTGATTCGCCCACGTGCGCGCGTACGCCGCTAGTCTTCCGTCCCATTGAAACGGTGGTTCTCCCACGCGCGCTCGTACGAGGTTATGTGCGATTAAAAACTCTCTGCTCGCTCTGTTGACTTTGTTACGACGTCGTCTTCTCCTCCACCTGAACGTGAACGAGAATCGGTTTCCGGTGAACGAAGGTGGTGACAACAGAAGCCGAGTACTCGTCGCTGACGGGGAGTTATTAACCGAGTGTTTTGTGGAAGACTCTTCATGGTTAATTTGGGCCGTTACCGACCAAAGCTGAAGGTAGAATAACGTTATGCCGACGAAGATGTGTAATGGAGCTCGTATTTTCCGTTTACGGAGCTCCATTACAAAAAAAAAAATGAGATAACAAATTTAATCGGAGAGTTAATTACGTTAAATGAAGGTGAAAGTGTAACTAACTCTAAAATGCAAATTTGTGTGGAAACGAATTAATAGAAAAGTCAATGCACGGTGAATATTGAATATCGGAACGCTATTCTTAATAAATAAAAATGTAGTAAAACCACAATTAGGCAATACTTAAATTGTAACCCAAATTATATTATTTAATTATACTATATAGTACTCAAATTAAACAACAAATAACAATAACATAGCTCAACTTTGTTATTATTAATCGACACAATACCGAATCTGCATGTCTGAAAATAGACAAAAAGAACAAGCTAAGACTAAAAAATTAAAGAGCACGTCTCGGCTTTCTCTTAGTTTTCTGGTTAAAGTTCCAAACTTTCAAGAAATTGGGATAATGTTGCTTGATAAAATCAACAGGCTTCTTCAAAATGGACTCGATTGACACACCAGTTGGTATATTCTCAATCTTCATATACATGGGAGCTCTTGGATCATTAAGAGCTATACACCATTCACTGAATATATTCGTACTCACAGATAGAAGCTCTCTCACACAAGATCCTCCTTTTAACGACAATCCCATCTCCACTGCTTTAAAATTCCCCACCGCATCTCCTACTCCTCCGACAATGTTCCCGATGGAATCTCCTACTTTCTCCCACCATGGCTTCGCCTCTGTCGTCTCTCCGGCCGTCACCAGAAGGATGACTAGGAGGAAGATCGCCGGAGATACGCTTGCTGGCTTTCCCATGGTTTTTGGTAAGGTTTTGTGTGTAGATTTAGAAACTATTCTATTGGGGGTTATATAGAGTAATGGAAATATAGGGGTGTTACGTTAAGATGTTGTATTCGTTAATGTTCTGTAACATCTTTTCAGTAACTTTCAAGTGTGATATTTTTCGTTACTTACATATCCGCAAATGTTGAACTTTGATGTTGTTCTTGCTAAGATTATCTCATATTTAGCAAACTATGCAAATCATAATGGTTGAGCAAGGTTTGGTGTTTTTTATTTTTTGGCCTAAAGGTTTGGTGTTAAAGTAGATTATTAAACCAACAAAGTACTAGAAAATAAACAAGGGAAAAAGAAGTAATCAACGCACCAAAATATAGAGATCGAAGCAATGTCTCTAACTTCGCGCTAAATCTTCAATTTTGTCTGATTAAGAACTCCAACACAATTTTTCATGTGCCCCCCTATGTGGTGTATACGTAAAACAGTAATTTACCAAAATTTAATACTACAAGATATTAACTAATATTTTGGACGTACTACACCTTCCTCAGATAATCAGATTTGTCTGTCTTGAATATTACAGTAGTTTTTAATAATCTTAATCTAACTAATTTCAGCCGTTATCATTTGTTAAGTAAATTAACAATTTCTGGCTAATCAAAGAAAAAATCATACACGCTCTCTTTGGTCCAAAGGTGTAAAATATATAAAGACGATACTAATAATACAGCCGACAACACGTGAAGATTTTATCAACACGTATTCAACTCCACCGCTTAAAGATTCACTTGTTCCATCTTAAAAAACATAAGTCTAAAAGCATTAAATTGCGAAAGCAAAAGTACATTATCCGTACCGGTTCCGGTCGGGTCAGAATTAAGCGCATCCTCCTGGAGCAAACCCGACCCGGGAACTCGCTAAATCGTATACAACCCGGAAACCCTGTTGCTGGATATTCCCAATTATGGATAGTCCGCCCATCGTACCGGCAAATGCAAAACAGAATTTACCGTTAGTATCAACCGGAATCAGGTAATTGGTCGCCGGAAGTGACACGTCAGCTCCACGGAAATGTAAAACCACCGTGGGTACTTTGACCTCGTTCATATTAGAGAGATCGAAACACGTGTCGAAGAGTGAGAAATCCGGAGCTCTTTTCAAGGCCTTAGCTCCGACCCGGAACGCGTCTCTCATAGCAATATAAGCGGGTCGGATCAACCGGGTCACAGACGTACCCGAATCGATAATAACCCCACCGTTACCGATCTGGTCGAGTTTAAAAAGAGAAGCCGCCACGCCGGGGACACGTGTCCCTCCGACGCTAATTCCGAGAAGCTCGACGTAGTAGAAAGTGTCGAGCTTTGGGTTGGACAAAAGCGGCGTGAATCTCGCGATTCGAGAAACGGCGGCGTTTCCGAAGACGACTGAGGAAGGTTTCGAAGAAGCGGATCTATCGACTAAACAGTAAGAGAATTTCTGATTAAACCGGTGACCGGTTTGACCAGGAAATGATAATTTTCCTTTACCGAGTCCTAATAAACCTGCGGCTCCGACGAAGAGACCTTCGTTGTCGTGGCCACATCCGAGAGCGACGCCTTTAACGCGGTTTCGTCGGAAAGTTAGAGTTTCGGTGGAGAAATCGCCGACGGTGAAAGAACCATCTCCGTATGAGACTTGGTAGAGACAAGTTTTACGACGGGTGTTGCATCCGGCGGAGTCTAATCGCCGGCAGTGAGGTGAAGAACAGGGGATTGTGGCATATGTCTTGGATTTTCTCGGGTCGAATATCGGGTCGGATTGAGAGTAACATCTCCGACAAGGAGCACACTGGAGCCAGACGATGTCGCTTCCGGTGTCGAGCACCATGTAAACATATCTCGCCGGAGTTCCGACACCGAGGCGCGTGAAGTATTCACCACTTCCTTGAGAGAGACCAGAGACCACTGAGCTGCTGAATCCACCGGTTCGTGGAGCGTGAGTCACGTTTCTCCCGGGGATTTGAGCGGCGAGTGTGGCGATTGATTTCACGCGCCGTGAGTCACGTTGGAGACGGGAGCTGAAGAGCTCTTGTGGTGTTTTGTTGGAGGAGAGAGCATCGATGTGGTCGAGGTTTAGAGTAATGGAAGACTCGGAGTCGGATCCGGATTCAAATTCGGATCCTAGCAGTGACTCAGAGTCGGGTTCGGATTCGGGTTGGAATGATATGGGAGAAGCAGAAGGAAGAGAATGAGAATTGGGGATTAGGGTTTGGAATGATGGAAGAGAAGAGAAGCAAGGAAGAGAGAGGAAGAAGAAACAAAGAGAAAAGAGTAAAGCTTTTCTTCTTCCTACCATTTTTTTTGTTTACTCGGGAAAATGGGAAGTGAGACTGAGAGTGGTCTCTGTATAAATAATTGCACTAGTCTACACACTCGGAAAAAAGAAGCAAGCTGTCTCTTTTTTAAATTTATTTTTCTTTCAATATAATAAATGTACTCTGGGAATAAAATATCTAATATGATTGTGGCAATGCAAAAGCGACATTTTAGATTCGGTGGATGACAAACACTAACAAATATCCAAGTGGTAGCTTCTTTTTCTTTTCTTTTTGGCGTCATGAAATAAAAATATAACTACGTTTAATTATTTGTGAAAAGTAGAAAAGCTCATTTTATATAGTTAGGTTAATGATGCCCAATAATTTCCCCACAATTGGTGGCACATTTTCGCTCTTGAGATAACACAAACTGAAACATTCCACATGGGTGAAAATATACATGCAAATGGTAGTAAAACTTAGTATTATTCATGTATGTTTTCTTAACACTAAAACCAACAAACATTGCATGATGGTGTGTGTCTAAAAATAATTTGCCAAGAGATTTTTATCTTATCACTAAAATCGTCACGAACTTTAGATCTCACAATCTTGTTAGATTGTCGATATCATCAAACCCTCTTTTCATTTATTCGCCCACAAGAATTCGGAATAATGACATCCAAGATTTGGAACTTTCATATTCAATGCTTCGATATGTTAACATCTATAGTATATTACTACATCATAAAACATGAATAATTGAACATAGTGGCCCTCTTCTTTAAATGGATACAAAAGAAAATAATAAAAGGGGAAGAAGTACTAAATTGTGATATTGGTATGTGTGACCACCAATTAAATGCTGTGACCAACCTCTTCCCACTGTGTAAAGAATGTGGACATAATATGAATTAAGTCTGAACAGTGTATCATGACTTTTCAGTCTTCACAGTTGCAAGCATTGATTTTTCTATCAAACACGTTCGCTTCATAAATTGTTTCTCATAGGGTTTAGGTGAAATTCTCATATTCCATATCAAATGCTTTACAATTAAAGAAATCCGTACTTGTCCGGTTGGTACGTTGACAGGATCTTCTCGCAGCAGCCGGTTTTACTGGTCCGAACAAGCCATCGCACTAAACGAAGTTCCAATCTGATGAAGGATTAGTACTAGTAGATTAGTAGAAACTCAGAACTAAAGGTCTTAAAACAGAGCAAGGAGACATTGATTAAAGGAGACCAGAAAGCAAAAGCCACTACAAGAAAGAGAAAAAGAAAGCTTTGGCCAGCAGAGACAACACACTTTCCTGTTTTTCTGCTTTATCTCTGTTAAGTGCTCACTCATCATTGTAAGGGTCGTGACATGAACCATGTGCAGACAAAAAGATTCAAAACTCGACATGATTACCTACCTATACATATAAACACTACGTTATCTGATCCCTTTTAACTGGGTTGTAATGATCTAACTATAACAAGATTTAAGAGAGATGTTATGTGTTTGCTTACGAGAACCCATTATTGCAAGAACAAAGTGTTATAAGAACAAACTTGGTACTTTCAGTACGTTCTTAATTAAGCATCAATAGGCGATATCCACTTTTGTTTCTTTGAGAGTACCCAAACTTAAACAGCAGAAGCAACAAATTGTGAGCAAAACTGTAGTGTCTTTCACAGTGCCTAATTTACTCATGACTACTCCAGATTCAAAAGTTTCCATCTTTCCATATAAGCAGTATACATCACCCAAGTAACCACATAAACTGGATCACAATAAAAGCGGTATAAGATAAAGAAAGCTAACCTCCATAGCTACAGAGACAAATATTCTTTGTGTTCACTCCCCTCTAGACCAATACCCGCTCTTTCCACCAGTTTTACGCTCGAGTCTCACGTCTGTAATACTGATATCTTTCGAAGCAGCCTTACACATATCGTAAACCGTTAACCCAGCAACTGATACAGCAGTCATAGCTTCCATCTCAACTCCGGTTTTTCCAGTGCAAGAAGCTTCTCCTTCAATGTCAACACTAAAATCCTCAGGGTTTAGTCTTAAGTCTACACGAACATGCGTAAGAGAAATGTTATGACACAATGGTATTAAGCTACTAGTTTGTTTTGCTCCGTTAATGCCAGCGATTTTCGCCACTCCAAGAACATCTCCTTTACCCATTTGATTCGCTAACACCAAATCGAAAACTCTTTTCCCAAGAATAACTTTACAACAAGCCAATGCAGTTCTCTTAGTATTGTCCTTAGAAGAAACATCCACCATTTGAGCTTCCCCTGAGATCCCAACATGGGTTAGCTTAGACATATCACAAGCCACTTTTGCAGATTGTTCTATAGCTTGTGAATCGTTCTTGCTCGAGCGCGTAGATTTCTGATACTCAATATGTGATCTAAAATCAGAATTCTCCAGATTTGCAGATTTCAAAGGTTCAATTTTGGATTTCAACTCAGAGAAATCCATTGTCGTAGGACCGGAAAATCCATCGGGAGAGGGTTCTTCTCCAAAGATTGACTTCATTTCCTGAAACACCAAATGATCAGCGCGAAGATTAAACACCAAATCAATGGAGAAATCATCGAGCTTTTATGTATTAAGATCACTGATTTAACACTTAATATCAAATTCTCTAGTTTCTCACAATTTTATCATCTTAGTTCAATTGAAACACGAACTCTAAACCATTAATTAGATTGAATCTACTTAGTTTCTCAACAAGATTCAAGAGTTGATTGATGTAGCTAGTTACAGATACTCACAAAGATACAGAGAGTGAGAAAACCTGATTCAGCTCATGTATATTCATGATTTGGGGATCGATTTCATCGTGAATTTTACTGCTGAAAGCCCTTTTTATCGGAGAAATCACCGCCGGAAATCGACGGAGAAACACGGCGCGACGGAGCATCGAAATCATTATATTTCACCACAAGAGATCAAGAACAGAATCGAAGTAGTTAAAAGTTAAAACTTAAAAGTAGGGTTCTGCTAAACCGGGGAAATAAAAACTGACAAATCAATAACCGAAATTTGTTTTAGCCGGTCGAACCGAAATTTTAGAATTCTTATTATTCCTTTTAAACCAAGTTAATAATCATTGTAGTACTATGTATGTGTACAAATGAGCTGCCAATCGTGGCTTAGCGATTGCCCATAATGGTTTAGCTTTAGGCATAGTCATGCCGTAAACTTCCACCGTATCGATATTTTCCGGTGAAGACCAGTCAAAGCAATGGAAGAGCCGAGCCAAAGCCATTAGAACCATCGTCACACCTAACGGAGCTCCGGGACATTTCCTCTTGCCGGCACTAAACGGCAATATCTTAAAATCCGGTCCGTGGCTTATCTCAACGCGTCCGCTACCATCCACGGGCCAATGTCGTTCGGGCCTAAAATCTTCCACGTCGTCCCATATCTTAGTGTTTCGGCCCAATCCATGTGTATTGATGAAGACACGTGTCTTTGCTGGGATGTAGTAGCCGTTGATCGTCGTTGGTCGGACGGATTCGTGAGGGATCAAGAATGGTCCGGCCGGATGCATTCGGAACGTTTCACGTACCACACATCGTAGATAGTTTAAATGGACTAGATCTGATTCATCGACCATTCGGTTTGATCCTACGACATTATCGAGCTCTTCTTGAATTTTACGCATTACTCGTGGTTGCTTAATCACTTCAGCCATTGCCCATTCGTTTGTGACCGCTGACGTATCTGTCGCAGCAGCTATCATGTCCTATTGAAGTTTAAAAGAAAAATACATTATATTTAAAACATAAGAGCTTTCATATTTTTGATGCATTTATCAACATAATACCTGAACTAGAGCTTTAATTTCAACGTCTTCCATGTGTTCTTTTCCGTTCTCACCAGGTAGAGACAATAAAACGTCAACAAAATCTATGTCGTCGTTAGTATCTTCTTTTTCATGTTTTGCCCTTTTGTGCTCGTCGATGATCTTAGTGTGAAAATTGTCAACACGTTTCTCCACGTCCCTCATTTCTTTCTCGCATCCGGACGGATCCACCCATCTCCAAAATGGCAAGTAGTCTCCTAGGTAAATTACACCCAACAGCCAAAACAATTTGTGAGTTATGTGCATAAACTCTTGGGCTTCTTTTGGGGGTACTAGAGATCCAGGTCCAAAGAATTGTTTCCCTAGTAGCATCCGAGTCACATTGTTCATAGAGAAAGCACCCAATACTTCCCTAAGATTTATTGGCTTTCCGGATTCGGACCGCTCAAAGACATCTCGTATTAGATACAAGCTTCCTCAGCCCGTTGGGTTGCAAATGATTCAAGCCTTTTGGTTGTAAGTAGGTGTTCCATGCATATCCTCCTCATTCTTTTCCAATGGGGGCCCATTGGCGCTAATGCGACGTCCCCACATCCATACGCAAGGTGGACTGCGGCAAGTGTTTTGGGCCTCGATGCAAAAACGTCGTCTTGCCGTAAGAGAATCTCACGGATGGTATCGGGATCGTTCGTTGTGATAGCATCTACATTTCCAAGCCGGAGGTAGACTAGTGGTCCGTACTTATCGCATAGACCAGCCAAGTCCCGATGAGGTAAAGGGCCCAATTGGAGAAGGTTACCCAAAATAGGCCACCTTGGTGGACCTGGAGGAAGCCTTTGGGCTTTACATGCTGAAGCTTTGAGCCATCTCCATAGAAGAACATTAAGAATAAGAACAGCGAAGAGGGAGACAAGCACCAAAATCATCTAATCTTATATTCTATGTTCAATAAGTCTTTTCATTATACCGTATGGTCATTGTTGTCTCAATATATAACAAATCAAGGAAGACTAGTAGTTAAGTTTTTGTTAGAAACTTAGAACTAATTAATTAAAATTTAAGAGAAGAAAAAAAGAACAATCTAACATGTATCTCTCTCTTTGTGTGACACTTTTACGAACTGCATGCTTTGTTCATGTTCTTTTAATCGGTTTATTAGGACTGAGTTAGCTTGGGAAATCTAGAAAGAAACATCACATTACCCTTTTTTTTTTGTCAAAGAACATCACATTACCCTTTGAGTAAAAAACACATGTAAAATATAAAGAATGGATATGTGAGCAAAACTAAAGTAGATATCTTAGTTTGATAAAGAATGGATAAAGACACATTTAATATTATTTTGAGACGAAATGTATAATCCGTAACAATTTATATCAAAATAATACTACTACAGTATTTTTAATCCACAGAAAGGTCACCACGTAGATAAATAATCTTACTAATGTGAGACTATCAAGCGGTTCCATGGTCTAGCGGTTAGGACACTAGACTCTGAATCTAGTAACCCGAGTTCAAGTCTCGGTGGAACCTGTTTTTATTTTTGTTACATTTTCCCTCTGTTTCTCTTCTTAAGACTTTTGTTTTCCCCAGGCGATAACGGTTACTGTTAATATGAACACTAAAACCAATTTCGAAATTAGAAAATACCTCACTAAATCCAACACATAGTTTCAACTTCACCATTCACAAGCACTGAATCAGTCAATCAGCTGCGTTTTGTTGTTCATGAGTAATCCTGTGACCAAATTAATACTTCACTAAATCCAACACATACGGAATATCAGAATGATGAAAGACAGATTCATGGCCAGAAAATAGAAAATGAGAGCAAATAATAACTTACTATTAAATTGAATCAAAAAAAATTAAAATGGTGGAAATATATACTTTAAATTAAAACTAATTAACCCAAATTCAATATTAAAATAAAGCAATATCTCTTTTAAATGATGGAAATATATACCCTAAATTAGAAATAAAGAACTCAAATGTAATATTTTAAATTTATTTTGGTTGAATAATTTTTATATAAAAATTGTGCTATTTTTGAAACTTTATGGAGTGTGTTATATAATTATCCATAAAACATGTTTTAGTATTATTTTGGGAATTTCTCTAAATTAAATGTTAAATATATATTAGAGAAATTGTTAAAAATGCACCTTTTTCAATACCCCTTTTCAAAAATGCCCCCTTTGAGAGTCCATTTTTAAGTTTGCCCTCTTTTAATTTTTAATGACCATTTTACCCTTATTTGAAACAAAATTAAGTCCACAAAATACAAAATATTTTTTGGCGGGAAAAGTGATCCCTCAATTTTTCCGCCAAAACACTTGTAAAACCTTTAAAATACCTTGTAAAATTTTCCCGTAAAAATTTTTCCGGCCAAAAAATTTTCCCGCCAAAAATTTTTTTTTGCGGGAAAAGTGATTCCGCAATTTTTTTGGCGAATTTTTTTTTGCAGGAAACTTTTTGGCGGGAAAAATTTACAAGGTATTTTAAGGTTTTACAGAGTATTTACAAGTGTTTTGTAAGGTTTTACAATGTATTTTAAAAGGTTTTACAAGGTACTTATAAGGTTTTATAAGGTATTTATAACTTGTAAAACCTTATAAAAAACTTGTAAAACCTTATAAAATAGCTTGTAAAATCTTATAAATACCTTATAAATACGTTGTAAAACTTTTTAAAATACATTGTAAAACCTTATAAATACCCTGTAAAAAACCTTTAAAATACCTTGTAAATTTTTCCCGCCAAAAAAATTGAAGAATCACTTTTCCCGCAAAAAATAATTTTAAAGGTTTTACAAGTTTTTACAAAATTTTTACAAGGTATTTTAAAGGTTTTACAAGTTTTTACAAAATCAAATTTGTAATTTTGATGTGTGAACATTCTCATGTTTTCCTTATATATTTGTGATATCTTTTATTAAAAAAGGGTAATTTAGTCATTTTGTATATAAAAAGGGGTATTTTTAAAAATGAACAGCCAAATGGGGTATTTTTGAAAAGTGGTATTGAAAAAGGGGCATTTTTGTGAGTCTCCTTATATATTATGTGTAAACATGTTGAACATAGAACACCTCTTAAAGACAAAATTATAGGCGGGATGTTGTGTCCACTTTGTTTTCACAAATTTAAAATTTTATCCCTTAAAAGAAATTTAAATAAAAGTTTTATGCATACTTAAAAAAATAAAACAGTTTATCTAAAATATTAATTAAAAAATAAAAAAAAATTAAAGTTTAAATACTGATAGAAATTAAAAAGCGTTTTTAAATAAAAGAAATAAGTTTTAAGAAATCCAATATGTATAACTTAAAGCAATTTATTTAAAATATTATTTGTAAAACCTTAAAAACTGTAAATTTAATCAATATTAAAAAAAAAGAAATAGAGTAAAAAATAAATTAATTGTTAAATTTATATTATGTGTAAAACATGTTGAACCTTGAACCTCTCGTAGGCATATGGATGTTGTGTCCAATTTGTTTATACAAAATTAAATATTTAACACTTATAAAAAAAATTTATCCAAATATTAATTTTAAAATAAAAAAATTTAAAGTTTTAGTAGTAATATAAAAATATAAATTTTTAAATAAATTCTAAGGAAAAAAAAACAAGTGTCAAAATTTTAATTATGTGTAAACCATATTAAACCTAGAACACCTCTTAGGGGTTTGTATGTTGTATACAATTAGTTTACACAAAATTAAAAAACAATTTACATCTAACAAAAAAATAAGTTTTTAAATAAAATGTTTAAAGAAAAAACAAGTGTTAAAACTTTAATTATTTGTAAACGATACTAAACCTAGAACACCTCTTAGGGGTTTAAAAATTTAACACTAATAAAAATAACATAACATTAAAAAAAAAGTGTTAAAATTTTAGTTATGTGTAAACTATATTGAACCTAGAATACTTCTTAGGGGTTTGGATGTTGTATCCAATTAGTATACACAAAATTAAAAAATTTAACACTTATAAAAAAAAAACATTTTAGAAAAAAAATTGTTAAAAATTTAATTATGTATAAACCAAATTGAACCTAGAATACTTCTTAGGGGTTTGGATATTGTATCCAATTAGTTTACACAAAATTAAAAAATTTAACACTTATAAAAAAAAAGCAAAACATTTAAAAAAAAACAAGTGTTAAAAAATTTAATTATGTGTAAACCATATTGAACCTAGAACACCTCTTAGGGGTTTGGATGTTATATCCAATTAGTTTACACAAAATTAAAAAATTTAACATTTATAAAAAAAAAAAATATTTCAAAAATAAAACAAGTGTTAAAAAATTTAATTATGTTTAAACCATATTGAACCTAAAACACCTCTTAGGGGTTTGGATGATGTATCCAATTGGTTTACACAAAATTAAAAACTTTAACACTTATAAAAAAAAAAAAAAAAAACATTTTAAAAAAAAAATAAGTGTTAAAAATTTTAATTATGTGTAAACCATATTGAACCTAGAACACCTCTTAGGGGTTTGGATGATGTATCCAATTGGTTTACACAAAATTAAAAATTTAACACTTATAAAAAAAAGAAAAAAAAAACATTTAAAAAAAAATAAGTGTTAAAAAATTTAATTATGTGTAAACCATATTGAACCTAGAACACCTCTTAGGGGTTTGGATGATGTATCCAATTAGTTTACACAAAATTAAAAACTTTAACACTTATAAAAAAAAAAGAAAAAAAAACATTAAAAAAAAAAATAAGTGTTAAAAAATTTAATTATGTGTAAACCATATTGAACCTAGAACACCTCTTAGGGGTTTGGATGTTGTATCCAATTAGTTTACACAAAATTAAAAATTTAACACTTATAAAAAAATAAAAAAATAAAACAAGTGTTAAAAAAACAAAAACATGGGATAGAAATTGACCTTGCCGATAAGTTGGAATGTGAGACGATTATCGTCATGGGCTGGACTTCTTTATTCTTGTTGGGCTTTGTTGGGCTGAAAGAGCTTCGATGACATGGCGGTGAGAGCGGAATGTGATCGTCTCTCTAATGGTTCCGACACAAAACAGAGCAGCAACAACCACGACGACGATCATCCTGAGGAGACGCTTTCATGATCGCAGCCATGGAAACATCGTCTCTCTTTGTCTCTATCTTCGTTTTCGTCTTTCCTTGGCCGTCTTGGTGCTCTCCTTGGCCGTCGGTGAAAGCGTTTCGGTGGCCCGTCGTTGACCGGATTTGAAATCGTTTGGATCGGGTTGAAGGTGAGTCACAAGAGAGGATGGAGATCAATGTTACGATAGTTGTTTGTATGTTGAAAAGACGAGAGAATGAAAGATCAAAAACGATAGTTGTGTTTAGAAAAGACAAGAGAATGAAATATTTGTTATGGTATCGAAGAAGAAGAGTGAATATTGATATCTCAAGGAAGAAGAGAGAATGAGTGATGTTGGAGATTAGCATTCTCTCAGGCGTGTTGTGTATTTATAAGCATTAGCTTCTTCAAACAAAAAGGAAACTTTCGATTGTTTCCTTTTTTCTTCAACGCTTGTTTCCTTTTCTTATTAGGGTTGACAAAAAATAAGAAAATCTGAGAACGTTCGAGAGATCTGGACCGTTTATTTTCATCACGTTGCAACTGCGAGATATCGGATGGTGATAATCTAATCTAAACGGTAAGTTTGTAACATTACGTGGGTCCGGGACGATCTCTTTATTATACATTTATACCTCTCTGTTACAAACAAACACCCATATGTTTGTGGAGAAGGAAAGAAGAGATGAAGATGATGGTTCTGAACCAAAAAAAAGGAGATGATGATGTTGGCTTCTTTAAATTGAACAGAAGCAGCAGTGTTTGATGATCTAACAGACATTGACATCAGCCTACCAATGCTGGTCTTTCTGTGGGAGATAGAACCGGCCTGATTATGAGAATGCTTCATATCGCCGGTAGCTTCATCTAGAAACTCAGCGTTCCTGAACGGAAGAAGAAATCAAAATCAAGATGAAAAAGTGTGTTTTCAAGCAGAGCAGAAACTGATTCAGGATCTGACTAACGTTTTATTGCTGCGGCTGCAGATGCTGAATATGAAGCCAACGCCTATAAATATAGCAGCAACTTCAATCATTTCTGTGGGAGCCATCAATTGCTTTGGTTAGGACCAGAGCAATCATGTCATTCATCTGACCACTACATAATGTACAACTCCATGACTCTGAGGGAAGGTGGTAGTGATAGAATCTTCTATGTTGAATTCCCTCAGAGGTTTGAAGGTATTGGACCCAAATGATCGTTATGCAAACCACAACACTGTCTTCTTTGATGTTAGTATCAAGTCTGCAAGTCTTGTCTCTGCAGGAAAGAGCCATTACAACATTATCCTTTTCCCCCAATTTTGTCCACTGTAAACCGAGTAACTGATAATGTCTACTTTTGTCAATTAAACTTCTAAAATCCTAGTTTGGAGGATTCTTACAGGTATATAACCAAAAAAAAAAAAAGCAAAAACAAAAGAAACCTAGCAGAAACAAAAAAGAACCATTCAAAACCGGTTCTTGATTACAAACTTACTTTCCACCTTCTTCTATCTCTCAAAAGGCTATCTACCAGATGATGTTCTTGACTGAACTGAATTTGATGGCTCTCTAGACAACGCAGATATCAGCTTCTCTTTCGTTAATTCTTCAGATTTGACTACAAACGTATGCAACACTGTGTCCTGAGAAACTTCAAGGTTCGAGTTCATCACTTCTACTTTAGTCTCTTCAAACGCATGGAAGATTCTAGAAGCTGGATGAGACTCCAACGGACAGTTTATTCTCACTGTGACATCTTCACCTGAGGTTTGAACATTAATATCCGATTCCAAGCTGATAGGTGGATTTGAGCTATACCCTAATCTCTCTCTCTCTGCTTCCATGACCTTTAGCTTGGCGTGAAGCTCGTTTATGTAAGAAACTGCGTCTCCCAACAACGACGCTTTGTCCATCTTGGATATGTTGGGAACAACGGATCTCAGAGCGTAAAACCTCTGGTTAAGCTTCTCACGCCGCTGCCTTTCTGCTTCAACATGGTTCAAAGCTTCCACTCTTCCGTTGGCAGGTCTCCTTCCACGTTTTCTTGGTTTGTTGTTACCATTGTCATCAGCACCCACCGCGTCTGCCCATTCCCCTCCTCCTTCTCCATCTGAATTATTCTCGGAAGCCCTTGAACTCGCAGCAGAGAAATCAATCTGCATTTGAGCAGGAGGAAGCAGCCTCTGCGATGATTGCTGCAAAGGTAAAAACTTGAACTCATCCGTGCTCGGAACTTCCTTCACATTGATGGGCCTCGTGTAGTTCTCTGGTTGGACCCAAGTAGGACTCAGAAGAGTATTGTTGTTGGTGCCTGGGTTCGAAAACATAAACCTATTCCCATTATTAGGATAAGCATCTACTCTCTTGGGAGCTCTATCATCCATTTTTCTAACCGTAAGTTTCTCTCTGAACTGTCTATGCTGTTGTTGTTGTTGTTGTGGTTGTTGTTGGTGAAACTGATGATGATGAAGAAAACCTGAATTGTGCAGATCCTTCCCAAATATCTTTGAAGCATTAACCGTTCTGTTATCATCTATCTTTTCAGGTAAAGCAACAGCCGTCACAGCTCTAACAGGAGGCAAACTACTCGAAAACAATGATCTTATAGACAAGATTGACTCTTCACTTTCAGGCAAACATGAAGTTGAGCCTAGCTCGACAACACCAAGATCAGTAGGAACCAAAACAACCGTCTGAATTCCAGCAGATTTAGCAAGAAACGATCTAACACAATAATCAGAACCCGAATTCACCACATCGGATAACCAAACCGGTTTCCCAGAGGCAAAACACTTCCCTGGACCACCTTCACCTTGAGGGAATGAGAAATACATTGAAGAAAGAAGAAACATCTCAGTGTCAGTAACTCTATCTAGTCCTAAAGCACAGTTCTCTTCTTCTAACCCACCAAACAAATCATGAAGCTTTTGCAAAACTCTCTTTCTCATAGTCTGATGCGTTTCTTCTTCTCTTCCCATACTTAGAATTCTAACGATCTCTGACTTCTCTCCTTCTTTAGGCTCTCTGCAATACCCATCTCCCCAACAGAGAACCAAATCTCCGGCCTTTGACCTCGAAATCTGCCAGAAAATGGCGTAGTTCCACGAGAAATTAGAAGCGTTGGGTCTCTCAACGAGATCAGAGAGCTTGTTCTGCAGATTCTCGTCGCTTCCTGAAGTCATCAAGAGATTAGCATTTGAAACAGAGTTCGAAAGCAAGTAATCGAGAGCTCGTTTGCCAAGTAACGAAGCAACAATCGCTTTATCATCCTCGTTCCACACTACGCGACCAATATTCATCTCTGTTCTTTTGTTTGGATCCCAACGAAATCGAACAAAAGGAGAGACTTTTAAGAAACCCAGATCTTCAGAAATCGATTCTTTGGTCAACTTCTAGGGTTTACAAGTGTGACCCAGATGCGTATATACGGCGGAGTATAACAGTTTTGCATGGAACACCAGAGATCTCAGATCTTGCCCCTATTTTTAACAAATAACAAATCAAAAATCAAACTTCACAAAAATCGACCAAGAGAGAATTGAAAATTAAGAAGAAGATATTTTTACCAGTAGAGAAGATTTGAAGCCAGTCTTCCACCGAGATTTTTCCTCAAAAATCAGATTTTTTTAGAATCCGACCAAAAAACAAATTTTAATATCTCCCAAAATGGACAAACAAATTTCCCCGAAAAAGAACCCTAAGAAGTAAGAATCCAGGAAAAAGGTGGCCAATTGAAAACAAAATAAGATTTTTCAGTTTCGCTCTATCGGCTCCCTCTTTTGTCGCCGTGGCCAATTGAATGAATTCAAGGAAGAGAGAGAAAAGTCCGACGCATGTTCTTCGTGCTCTTTTTTATTTTAGTAAAACCAAACAACAAACAAAAAACAACAAGACTCTCATTTTTAACCATGGTTACCTATTTTAACTACACACTTGAGTTTAGAATCATAAGCTAACTTAAACCGGGTCCGGTCCGGTCCGGCACGGCCAACGACTTTGTCTTTGTCTCGAGTCTTTGATACACGACGGTGTAAAACCTTAGATTATGTCAATGTTTTGTCAATAATTGCGACATAATATTCAAATATGGGTTTTGATTAATTAAAATTTGTAACAGATCTAAAAACTAGCGTATCTGACAACTTGATTAGATTCTCATGTACAGCACATAATTACTAAAGATTATAGGATATGGAAATACACTAAAGAGGAAACCAAACCCAAATTTAGTAAATTTGATTTGAATTTTTATAATTTATTTACATAATTGCAATATATGCCAAGTCCGGTAGTCAAGCACTCGGAAACTTTGACTAAATCAATTCACGTTCACGTTAGGCTTAAATAGTTGATTTTGTTGTTGTTTTAATTTGTTGAAAGGAAATTTATTTGATTTTGTTGTTGTGTTAAGAGTTAAGACTAAAGAAGAGTTGTTCCTTAAGTTTCAAATGTTTTTAGATTTATACAACAAAAATATTTGGCTTATTTTTGTAAATAGAAAAGCCAGCCCCGGCTCATATGGGTGGGGCGGAGGTGCGACGGCCTAAGGTTTTTTTTTTTAATAAAAATTTTACATATAAAAAAGGCCCAAATATTTTTTAAAAAAAATTATTAGTATAAAAATTATATTTCTAGAGGCCTAATTCTTTAAAAATATATATATAAAGGCTTAAAATTTTAATATAACAATTTTTACTGTAAACAATCTGCAATTCTTAAAAAAAAAATAGGTAAATTATTTTTTTATATATAATAATAGGCAAAAAAAAATTTTGTCCTAAGGCTCCCAAATATATTGGGCCGGGGCTGAGAAAAGCTTGTAACATATGGCTTTGTAGTTTCTAGTTTAGATTTTTTTTTTTGTGTGGGTAATATTTATGGTGGTTCTATAACGTAAGTATTATTTAACTAAAAAAAGAAGAAGAAGCTATCACTAAAAATTAATACCAATTGTCGGTAGCTCAACTGATCAAGATTTTAGGCAAAGTTTAAAGATCATCGATTCGAGTGACGGTTGAAACGTTGAAACGAAACTAATATTGTATGTAGTGTTTTAGACTTGGAGGCATTACGGGTTTTGATCTAAAACAATATTAAAAAAAAAAAAAAACTTTTGGTTGACAAAACAATTCTCCTCTTTTAAAGAAAGGAAACGCCAACTCGATAAAGAGGAGGGCGTGAAAAGCACGTGAAGTTCACGTGGATCGAGGAGAGATGACCAGAATGAGAAGAACGTGAGATGCATTTAATTTTCCTTGGATCTTTTTTATTTATTTATTTTCAAATGCGCCTGCACAGCTGCACTTTCTCTTCTGTGACCGTAACGTTTTTTTCTTTTCTTTTTTTCTCCCGCATTGCACAACAATAATTGAATTATACTATAGTCTTAACATTATCACCAAAATATAAACTCATGAAATTCTCGTATGCAAAAATTGAATATACACTAAAAAAAAGAATATACACTAAAAAAAAAGAAGCAAAAATATAGTTATGGAAAATGGAGTCACGAGTGGGTATAATATATGGCGGTGAGAAACACACACCAAAAAGTGGGGACCGCGTGATTCACGTGTTTAAACTATCCTTTATTCGAGACGTTTGGGTCCCATTCCCATCTAAGTCAAACAACGACGTCGACTTAATATCTCCAAGTCGTCAAGATTAATATGGGCCGCTGTTACGGACCAGGTTTCGATCGAACTCTTGTAATATTAGGCCCGATATGGGCTGGGATAAACTTGCTATTAGCCTCATCTATTCCTTTATCTAGAAATCAAAATTAGAATGGGCTGCTCAACTGACTTTCTCTTAAATTCTTAAAAGGGAATCATATATCTCTTGTTTTTTTACTACAAAAAAAATCGGCCCATTAGCCCAGTTAACTCTATTCAGTCCCGGATAAAGTAGTACAGGTTCTTGCCTTCTTGGTGAACTTATTCCGAATGTTACTAAAAAAACCTCTCTCTTGATATATTGTTACAAGTATTCATTTAATTTCAATAATGATCCAAATTGGTTAGATTTTCATACGTGAAATATATAGTTTATCCCATTTTGGCGTTTATAGTTATCTTCATTTTAAAATGAATTCCATCTTTAACGTCTACAAAAGTCGTTACCAACCCAAAAAAATAATCATAAGAGACTACTTTAATCTAACAACAACTCACGAAAAGGAAAAAAGCACCGACCAAAACTTAAAAGCTCATCGTATGAACAAAAAAACAAATCTTGAAAACTCAATCCACAAAAAAAAATGACGTCACACTGTTATATTTTCAGTTACTTACGGTTTAAAAAACGAACAAGTGTTTAAATTGTTTACACGAAAGCACATGAAGACAAAACTGATAGTAAAGCCGTGGATGATCATCTGATGTAAGAAGAAAGCGAGTTTCGTAAACTCCTCTTGCTCTCTATTTTCCCAATTTAAAAAGCATTTTTCGATTGCGATATTACTTGAAGTAAAATTCAATGGTTCCTTGTTAATATGTAGTGACGTGATGTGATGGGTTAAAATGTGGAAACCATAGACTTCAGGTGATATTTATCAACTGCCCTTATGTTTAAGGGATTATAAATCACCGTACGAAGACGTGAATTTTCTTGTGATATCTTAAATTCTTTTCCCTGAAGAATAATAACTTTAGCTTCTTTCTTTTCTTGTAACAATTGTACTATCATGGGGAAGTTTATATTCTTTTGTAATGGTAATTCTAGTAGCAAAAATGCAAAATCATAAAATAAAACTTTTTGAGTAGTGTAGATTTCTGAGTGGTATAGACTAGAGTTTAGACTATGGTCCCTTCAAAATCTAATGAATGCTATTTTAAAAAAGCAACCTCTGTGGACCTGCGTTGCCCAAGTATATCAAATAACTGAAAATTAATTAATAAGTTAATAATTAGGAGAGAAAAAGGGTTCTTTGTAGATATATTTTCACGATCATGGCATGCATGCACAAAAAATTACACCTAATAAAGTGATTTTCATTATAATAATAAATATTGTAAGCACATTTATAATTTTTCCACTGTCAGGCACCTTTTTTTTTTTTTTTTGCTGAAGTTTGTAGAGAATTTTGTAGTAAAAGATTTCAGTAATTTTCATAATCTTTTCAGACATAATATTTATTTGATCTCTTTCTTGCCATCGACACTTTTTTTTTACCAATTTGTTGAAAAAGGTGCTAAAATTATAGGACAGAACGTCACCAGTACATGAGCTATTGAAAACATTTCCCCACCACTCCCGATTGCTGAGAGACAAAGATTTGACATATAAACTTTTTTAGTTTAATTAATTTGATATATGAAGTTAATCATCGAGGACATCAATAACCCATGTTCTTAGATTTTGTTCTTATGCAAAATCGTGCAATTTTTATTTTAATAAATCATTTTCTTGCTACTAGAATTATCACCGGTTTAATTTGATTCAGCTGCTTATTGTAACAAACTAACATAAAAGTACTGGCCGCTCATTTCAATTTTCAAGATTTTTATTTTTGCTAGCGATTTATTATTTATTTATTGAAAATATATCATTTTACGGGATATAAAATAGAATTTGACTACGTACTAATATCCATTACAGGATCATTTTCTTGGAAAATTTACATTTCTATAAATTAGAATTCTATGATTAAATATATGTCGGGGGCATTTATGTAAATTCGTATAGTGAACAGTAACGCTGTTGGTTAGAAAATGGGATTGGATGAGATTATAAATGTAGATAACAGTGTGACTTAACCACATAAACTCTTTAATGCACAACAGAGAATGAAGCTATCACCACCACCACTTACCAACAGCGAACCAACCGCCACCGCTTCTGCCGTTAAATCTTGCAGCGGAGGTGGCAAAGAAACCAGCTCGACCACGAGGCATCCAGTGTACCACGGTGTTCGCAAACGCCGATGGGGAAAATGGGTTTCTGAGATCAGAGAGCCCCGGAAAAAATCTCGGATTTGGCTCGGATCTTTTCCGGTGCCGGAGATGGCTGCTAAAGCCTACGACGTGGCAGCGTTTTGTCTAAAAGGTAGAAAAGCTCAGCTGAATTTTCCCGACGAAATAGACGATCTACCTCGACCGTCCACGTGTACTCCCAGAGATATCCAAGTCGCGGCGGCCAAAGCAGCCAACGCCGTCAAGATCATCAAAATGGGAGATGATGACGTGGCAGAAATAGACGACGGAGATGATTTCTGGGAAGGCATTGAGCTGCCGGAGCTTATGATGACTGGAGGTGGGTGGTCGCCGGAGCCTTTTGTTGCCGGAGATGATGCCACGTGGCTTGTCGACGGAGACTTGTATCAGTATCAGTTCATGGCGTGTCTGTGAGTGTTGCTGTCGATTGTGTCGTATTCGTTATACGTGTACGTTGTATCGTTATTGTGTTGGCTCACTTAATTTAATGCATATGCATGTATATTTTCATTTTTTTGTTTCTAGTTTATTGTTTTACGCGATTAATAATTAGATACCTGTTTCTTAAGTTAGTTATCAGGTTTGTACGATCTTGATATATACGTATAACGGTATAAGTATGTTCTTATATACAGTTTTCGTTTGCATAAGTATTGTTACTTGTTCTAACCTTTTTATTATTATTGAAAACATTATGTAGCTGCTGGTTATAAGTAAAGTAATGGTTTTAAATCACTGGAGCTTGTAACTTCTGATTATTTTATTTTTGTAAAACCTATGATAAGGAAAATTAAAGTATAATTCGATACCTAGCATAATTCCTAATTTGGTCCAATTTCTATCGTTGTTCATGCAATAGTTCTCGGACCCTTATCCATATTTATTATCAAATAGTATAAAATTTTAAAATTACTATTGATATTTGTTTTGTGTTTTCATAGAAAACAAAAAAGAAAGACTCCTTAAATGAGTCATGGGGTTCGAGATATATGTTCTCCTGATATGTGCTTGTGATATACTATTATACTAGTATACATCACTGTTTGAAATTTTAATAATATCAAAAATGTTAATATGCAATAGCTTTTCTTTTTGTTTCGTGTGTCGATATATCGACATTTAAACTTCTAACAGTACAGACGTACAGTTGGCAATAATTTCTTCTTCCGATAAATTTGTTCGCTTTCAGTTTTCCCTGATAGTGAGCTATTTAGTTCCAAGATGTTACTAATATCAGCACTCGGGCTTCATTGATACTTGTTAGTTATAAGGACTCCTTTAACTGATCGGATACGTCCAAAATAATCATAATAACCAAAGAGCGATTTCCTTAACGGTTGTTTCCTAAAGCATTTGAAGTTCGACCTAAAACTTAAATATCAATTTGACCACGTGGAAACACATGAAAATTGTAAATGAACTTAATTCATCTTCCAGAATATATGATCGGTGTAAATATACGTGTTAAGAACTGGACCATGAATATGTTTGTTCCAAAAAAGAAGTATCCGTATATGTACCTCTTATATTATCAGTTCGAGTCCTAATTAAGCTCGACACTTGATCAAATCCTAAACTCGACTCTATACTTTTTTCATAGCATCATATAATTCCGTCAAATAAAAATCGTAATATATACGAAAATAGAGTTTCTTCTATTTAATTATAGATGATGAGATGTAATATAAAAAGATTAGAGGAGAAATATAAAACATATATTGAAAGAGAAAAGGAATGAAACGAGAATTTCGCCATATAGAGATGTAAAACAATCATATATAAGCTCATATATAATGATGCTATAAAAGTATTTTAGAAAATCGAATACCACATTAGCTAGGTACTGATCCAAGTCTTTAGAGAACTTGTTATTTCCATCAATTTTGCATTGTTTTGGGGCTATTTGACCAATTAACCCTTAAATATTTTTGACATGTGCATATTAAGCTGTGGTACTGTAAGACTAATACATTATGTTCTTGTAGGACACAAGACAAGACGAGGACGCGGAGATGGTACACTCGCATAGAACCAAGAGCTGTCTGGGTGGGAAATTTGAAATTATTAACATTTGTCCTTTGTATCGTCATTATACAATTTGGCACCACATATTAAGATATTTAACACAACACGTGTTTTAAAATAACGGCTAAAACGATACTCGAATTTATTATTTCAGACAAGGATTTGTTGGACTTGAATTCAACTACAATTTAGTGCTATTTAGTGGTTTGGAAGTTGGAACTCGAGCATCCAAGAGAAACGAACTATGGTTTATTATAAATCGGGAAATTTTGTGCTTGGTTTTGAATCGTAGTACGCAATGATCAACAAAACATCCTTGTGCTGGTTATTCAATAAAGCTTCTTACAACTATTATTCATAATAAATACGGAGAAATTATTTCACATTTGACCAAAAAAATTGGAGATATAATAATTAATGGGCTGTCTTAGATATGAACAAACAAACAAAGAGATGAAATTTAAATAATTAAATACATTTGATGATGAAAACATGTATTTTGGTTGTTGGTGCATGCTAATATTTAAACTACTGTATGATATTTAAACGCATTTTTTTCAATGTTTTTTTTAAACTATCTTTTAAACTCACATTTATCAATGAATTTAATTATACGGATAAACCATTATTTGGATTTAGTTAAAAAGTATTGTATATTTTCACAGAAGCGTACATAAACACAAACAATACAAGTGATCACACCTTTCATTTTAAACATCCGTAATATATTTTAAAGCAACTAAGACAATAATCTTTGAAAATTTATACCACACCATGCTTAGAAGTTTAAACAAAAATCCTATTAAGTTTGATACAACCCCTAAAAGAAGTTCTTTTATCAATTATAGAAAAGAAATAAAAAATTTGGGTCTGAAAAATGTTTTCAGGACATATGGGCCTTATTCGGAATAAATGGGTCAAATGAGGTCCACATGACCACAAGTAGCAAACTTTGAATCTAAAGCTTCCGATGCATTTCCATGTTTGAATCTCTTTTCTCCTCAATTTTGTGTAGAAGAGAGAGATTTTAACCAAAATATACTTCTATAGAAGATTAAATTTAACACAAATATCACACAATAAATACATTAACACAACATATACACAATTTTAGAGGCAACGTGAAAAGTTATAAAACCTAAAACTCTTGAAAAGATCAGTGATCAAACAAAAGACATTTTCAAGATTCTAGAAGGGAAACAACCATCCAACAGTCCAACCTAAGAGCAAACCAGCACCAATGAGACTAAACCCTAATGCAAAAGCCATCATATATTTCCCAATCTCACCCTTTTTCTTCTTCTTCCCTCTTTGCTTCCTCTTCTTAAGATTCATTCCTTTGATCTGTTCTTCATTTTCTTCTTCCTTCTTCATCTGCAGATAAAGAGCTTCCATTTCTAGAAGCTTTAACCATTGCTTATAAGCCAACATCTGACTCGCTTGTTTCAACAAGATTGTTATCATACGGACTTTCTCAGCGCAAGCTTCTCTTGCTGCTTTCTCTGCTTCTCTTGCTCTGGTTTGAGAATGCCTTAATGCTTCTAAAAGCTGAGCTTTGCTTAGATCATCATTTCTAGGGGAAGACATTGGACTCGTGTTCTTGCTCTCTGTGCTACTATTGTAACTCAAAGATCTCTCAAACCGATCGCTCCAAACTCCTTGTTTCCATGGCGATTGCACCGCTGGTTTAAACCCCTTCTCACTACTCGTGCAGTGTATCCCCTTGTGGAGTTTCTGAGGTGGAGGAAGATCACAATTCTGGATATTATGATCAATCGATTTAGTCGCCACCAAGAGAGCTAATTCATCTTTATCTGTCGTGCTTCTCCACCACGGCGTTGTAGCGTCAGCGTCAGCTTTCTTGCTTATAAAGCTGTAGTCTCCTTCTTCTTGTATCCCGATCAAGTCGACAAATTCTTGCAATTTCTTGCATTTGGTATCTTCAAAAAAGGAGTTTGTAGCCTCCTCATCAAATCCAGTTGACCCCTTAAGCCACCATTTGGTATCACAAGAGGAGAAATCAGAGGAATCTCCAAAACTTCCTGAAGAAAAGCTGTTTTTTTCGGTGTTGCCCGAAGAAGAATGTTGGTGTTGGCAACAAGCTAACCTCGGAGCCATCTTCGCATCTTCATGAACAATAAAGCAACGACTTGCTGTTCTTTGCCACAATGCTCTTGCTTCAGCTGCTCCCATTATCACATTAAGACACAAAACCCCTAAAAATTTAAGAGAAAAGAGGAAAAGACAAAATCAAAAGACTATTTTTTCGATTTATGAATCAAAACAAAAGTTTGTTCTTTTTTCACTTAGAAGACATAGGAAGGATTAATTGTTTTTTCTTAGCTACTCCCGAGATTGCTTCTAAGCAATGATTGATGATTCATATACAAGCGAATGATTTAAGGAATTTAATTACTCAACAATACACGCAACGTTTGGGAACAAGCATCAAAACAAAAGATATTCAATCAAAACTCATTCAACATAACCAGACATGAAGAAGATAAATTTCATCACCAAATTAGAACATCAAAACTTAAGTTTCAGAGCAATTAAACGTACTGCAGAACAACAAAAAAGTCTTGACCAGAGCAAACAAAGAGCATGAGTAAGATTTCGCACAGGGATCAAGTAAATTTACCAACTTTCTCAGAAATTCCAAAATCAGAAGTTGACCCATGAAACAAAAATCATCACTGATCCATGAGAAAACAGTCAGATCGAACAAACAAGAAGAACAGAGACTTTTATCTAAAAGAGTAAGATTTGTATAATAGAACAGAAAACCAAGTAACAAGTAAAGATACCATTTTTAGTAGTTTAAAGATTCCATGAATCAATGAAGCGATCTTGCAACCGAAGCTTTTGGCTTTTCTTCTTCTTCTTTTTTCTTCGTCCACACTCTGGCCCCATGGAACGAATTTTACAGTTTCTTCCGTAAAAGCTTCCGGCTACGACGCAAAACGACACAGTTTCAATAACTTGTTTGGCTCCGTAAGCATCTGAAACAGCTGGATTGGCAACACGTGTTGACTAGAGAGTAAATCGACGGCTATTATGATATGGACCCTACTTTGATTTAATGGATAAGATGTTTTTATTTATTTTTCTTACACTGGACCACAATAAGAGAAAAAATAAAAAATCATTAGTCTTATTCCATCTTTAATTAGTCATTCTTTCGTTTTGTCGGCTTTAATTTTGCAAGGGAATACCATGTTTTTGGGTCCAATTAACATTATTTAATCACGTTAATTGTTCACTTTTGTTAGAGAATCAGTGCTTTATACAAGTAAAGAGGAGGGGTTAACTAAGGGCTTGACTGGTTTAAACGCAGCGGTTGCGGTTGCGGTTACGGGAGTTTGCGGAAGCGGGCGGTTGCGGTTTTAAGCATTACCAAGCGTTTTGAACGACTGGTTTAGCGTTTGAAAATGGATGCGTTTGCGGAAGTTTTATGACTGGTAAACCAGCGGATGCGGTAGCAGTTAAATAAAAAATGACTAAAAAAATAAAAAATATTACAAAAAAAAATAAAAACACCAATATATTATTATGATAATATTAGAAAAATTGAACATGCTTAATAATTAAAACCATAAATAAAGTACTAAATAATTATTCAAAAATAAAGAAATTTTATAATAAGATAGTATTTTATGATGGGTTAACACCAAAAATTGTATCAAATAATGGGACAAACTGTAAATAACGTTGAATTCAATCAAAAGCAAGTAATTTTCTATTCGAGAAAACAAATCGAAACACATATTCAATCAAAAATAAAAGCAATATATAATGAAAAGAAAAAAAATATTCAAATTGATTTTCATCAGTTTGGGTGGAAGACATTGAGAAAATAAGGTTTTAGAATATTGATTAGGGTTTCTGATGAGAACGTGATACAAAGATGAAATATATATATAAGATTAATATATTTTATAATAACTATAAGTAAACGTTTGATTTTTTTTTTTTTTTTTTTAAATCCAACCGCTACCGCCCGCAACCGCAAACGCTTGCGGGAAGGAGCTTTTAAAATTCAGCGATTTCGAGCGGTTTGAAGCGGTACAGAGCGGTTTCTATGATTGGTACCAACCGCTAACAACCGCAACCGACCGCTAGCAACCGCTAGGAGGGTGCTAGCGGGAGAACCAATCAAGCCCTAAATATTGTATACGTACACCATGACATAATAATATCCATCCAGGTGGACTTCACTGTGACACGTGCCATTTACCAGAAATTAGAGATCTTTTAGGCAGCCACGTGTTCTTTAGATCCCACTGAATCATTCACTACTCTCAATCAATAACAACATTCTGGTGTTTTTGATAACTCATGAGTTACGACATGCATATTTGGGCCATTCTTAACTCAATTATTGTTCAAGCCCATATTGATATTAGGCCCATTATATGTAATGTAACATCGGCAGAAGTGAAGTGGGGGAGAGAAAGAGAAAGCTTTATGAATTTCGTGTCTATTTATATAGAAAAAGGAGATAGTTCAAAGCTTCAAAATTAGTTTACTTACAAATATCCAACAAAAACATGACGACTCGAGAATTAAACCAACTCATATGAACATTTACACATATATATATATATATGTTTGCTTATATCCCCCTTTTCCTTCTTCTTTGAGGTGTTCTCTTACCGCAAAAGAAAACTTATTTATCACCATTGATACCAAAGATGCGTACCTTGTGCATGTTGGGGAACTTGGCAACAACGAGAACCATCACAGCGAGTGTGTTGAGGAACAGCCATGGATGTCTGTAATCTGTTGTATGCGATGCTATCAAGTACCTGTTTTAAATGTGTTGTTATAAAGTCAAAAACAAGTACAGAAGATAAAAGAACTCAATCTTAAAAGTTCAACCAGATAAATGCAGCTCTTGTTTATACACATTATCAGGTATACCGAGTTCTCTAGAACAAGTGCGTTACATATTACCGGCTTTAGATTTTGTGGATTCGAGAATTTAGCATAATAACCATATGATATGAGACACAAGGATATATGCAGCTAAAGAGAATCAATTGCTAACAAAATATAAATCGGAAAAAGACAAGAATGTTGAGATTTTAAGGAACAAGCTGCTGGGACTTACAGGACAACAGGAACTACGGTAAGAAATTTGCGGTTGCGGGTAAGTTGTTGACCATTGTCCATTTGTTCCCACCAAGTTAAACCATTGTAGATTCCTTGGTCATCTGCAAAAGGAGTTCCTTTCATCCAGTGGAAGCTGTGATACGTCACCTGATCCAAAAATGCTACTCAGATTTCACAGTTTCCAAAGAGTAAAATTAGACTAAATTAGGTTTTCATTATCAAGCAATGCCAAATTACAAATCACCTCATCATATCCAACAGTTAGACCTTAAAGGAAATGCATTGATGCCATAGGTAATTACAGTTTCTGATACCAAAACTAATCACTTCATTAACCAGAAGGTGCATCTTAATTCGAAGCCTGATCAACTTTAAAATTCTGATACCAAAACTGATCAATTCAATTCAGAAGTGAATTGCATCTTAATTCAAAGCCTGATCAAATCAACAGTCAACACTACTGATACTTTATATACTGATCAATTCAAAATCGCTGATACCAAAACTCATCAATGAAATGATCAGAAGGTAATTGTATCTTAATTCGAAATCGACGATTTACGATAACCAAACTGATCAATTCAAAATCAGAAGGTACTTGCATCTTCATTCGAACCCTAACCAACTACTAATAACCACAGAGATCAATTCAAACATTACTGCCAGATTCACAACCAGATCTCAGGAAATCAAAAAACACAATCAATCAATTAATTTTTCGAATTTAAAGTCACAACCCTAAGTGAAACAATCATCTCTAAAGCATAAAAACAATCGAATTCGAAAGGTAGAAGAAGAAGACTTACAACGAAGTGAGCGAGATTAACAACAGTCCAAGCCATTCCAGGGGAACAACCAGAGACAGAGAGAACAACGAGCCAACCGAAGAAGAGAATGAGCATGTAAGTAGTCCAAACTCCTGGATACATGAACCATTCCGTATTCCTATTCATATCCGGTGGTGGAACAGCTTTCACATACAGATTCGCCATTTCTCCTTGTACAAATCTGATCGATCGGATCGAATCTCGTCTTCTTTTGAAATGGGTATTGATCAAAATCTTAAATTAAACACCTAAATTGAAAACCCAGATTCACAAAATTCTCTCTTTCGGCGAGAAGAAGGATTGTTTGTTTGTTTGGTTTAATATTGTGTGCCCGTGAAAGACGACGGCGACTGCTTTTTAGCATCTTAAGTGGAATTAATTTAATTATTGGGATATTTTTACACAACACGGTGGCGTTTCATATTGCCCACTTAACAAACAAAAAACACAAACGTCTATTGCTTGCTTTGCTAAAATTCTATAATTTTTTTTTTTTTTTTTTTTGAATAACCATGGGTCTCCCAAAGGCTTCCTAGGCCCAAGGACTGATGCTGGCAATTTCCCTATGTAAATCTGCCAGTGGCCGTGCCTCCCAAAGGCTTACAGTTGTGACCCCTTTACCACTAGGCCACAAGGCCCGGTTCTAAAATTCTATAACTTTTTCCATTACAAACATTGGAATAAACATTCAACAACATGAGGATTTGGTTTGCAGGAAGCGATGATGCAGCAACATGTTTAGATTTTTCTTTTTGACACAACTCTATTCAAATTTCCAACTTGGAGCACTTGTGATAGTTTTGGTAACTCAAGCCTCAAGGACTTGTGACCTCTCTATGTTTCTTTTTGTAAGATAAAAAGGAATCACATTCGCGAGTATGACCAAAATCCAGGCACATATACTTGGGCGAAACACATATATGTCGTCAAGATATAAAGACTGCATTTTCAATAGATAGTAGACACTTAACAATCCACAAGCACTGGCACTGCATTATTCAATAAATATATAGTAGTAGATACACTTAAAAAATATCCACAAAATAACTGGTTTAATTTATCTGATCCATATTTGAAAATGGATCTCTTGCCATCACGCAGACAGCATAATATTCAGGTTTACGCATCATGATAAACAAAGCAGAGACTAGAGCACCATGGACCTTGCTAGACCACAACTCTATCACATCCACGGCGACCGCGGCAGCAGCTCCTGACCACGATCCAAGGCTTCTAGAAACGCGGGAGAGTTGAAAAAAGTAGCAGGGTCAATGTTTACGAATTCGTTCTCTCCAATCAAATCACCAATGAGGGACAAGTATCCTGTATGCTCATTTAAGATTCTTCTAATGATAGCTTTACGTTCATCATGCTCACCAGCAGCAATACGAGCATTGGCCAATCCCTTAAAAGTTATGTAGACCACACAGCATTTTTGGCGTTGAGTCTCTCATTTGGGGCAGCATATCTTCCTTGGTTTCTATCACCGCTTTCACAATCTTCAGCTTGGACAGATCGCCCTGCAGCAAAACAACAGTTTTAAAACAACAAAAACCACAAGTTAATGATTATAACCAACAGTTGCACTCACTCATGGTAAGAAAAAACAAGACTTACATCTGAGATTATGACCCTTTCAATTGCACAGAGTACAAGTTGCAAATACAGATAAATCCAATCATTGTTTTGCAACTCCGATTCCTTCACCTAAATGGAAAAAAAAAGAAAAACATATCACTGCTCAAAAAACAATCATGAACAGAACAAAACAAAACTGATGCAGTGTTAATCTATCTTAACAAGTAAAATCGTTTTCTATCATTGAAAGAATCATGTGACGGCCACTTAGGCAATTCATGATCCACTGAAAAACTATCCCAAGGTATGAGGGGCTTCTTGGTGGTCACACCTATGCAACATTATTATTAATAATCAGCAAGAGTGAGTTTTTGGTAGTAATTAAATAAAAAAAAAGATGTTTACCTTTAGGTCTAGCAATTGGAACGATCATGTCCAACCTACCGGTCCTTAGTTCATTAACTTGAACCTGAAAATTTTGATGCGAACCGCTAACTGAATCTTGTGCAAGCAAAGTGATGTAGTAAGGGGACAAAAAATTCAGCAACTTGTTGAATTTAATTACGTCCACGAGCTTGAAGTTTGTCCCCTGAGAAAGAAGAGAAAATTGAATTGTGATCATGTATACAACAAGCTAAGCAGCATGCTGGACGTTGATAAATGATCAGATGGAGGAGACAAGTTCTTACCTCCAACATATTGTAACGATGAAGCCCCGCACTAGCATGCATAAAGCTTGACCAAGACAGGTTCAGGATGCCTACTATCAGGCAGTTGACAGTCGTAGGGGTATCAGTGGAATGGCCCCTGGTGGTGCTAATATTCCCTCGATATCGAAACGCTAATTAAGGGAAAACAAAAATCATATTTGTGTCAGGGTCAGGGTTAAGATTTAATCTTTGTGTGACGACAGATTAAAGGAACATGCAATAGTCATCTTCAACAACTCCAACAAATCCTAAAATAAAAATAAAAAGATTCGAAGAAGATAGAAAGAATAACACATACCTCGGATTCATCCAGTCGACGCGAGTAATCCCTCGCCGCATGGCATAACATCTCGTGACTTTCAGCCCTAGACCTCGGAATCACGGTCCAATCCATATTCTGCGGATGCTTTCTTTCTAACCGACCCCCTTTATATTTATATTTATATTTAAATTCATTTATGTGCTTCTGTTGGGCCTTCTCAACCCCAAATCCTAATCTTATATTAACACCTGAAATTGAAAGCCCAGATTCACAAAATTCTCTCTTTCGGCAAGAAAGAAAAAAAGAAAGATTGTTTGTTTGTTTGGTTTAATTTTTTGTGTGCCCGACTGCTTTTTCAGCATCTACAGTGCAATTAATTAATTTAATTATTGGAATATTTTCACATACGCAAACCAAAACGGCTGCGTTTTTGTTCTATAACTTGACAAACAAAAACACAAACGTCCATTATTGCTTTGCTAAAATTCTAAAACTTTTTCATTACAACAAACATTGAAAACACTCAACAACAACATCAGGATTTTAACTGAAAATTTTCTATGTGAACAAGGTGATATAGGTATCTGTTCGTCACCTAACATAGTCCGTATCGGAATCTTCTTCTTCTTCTTCTTCTTCACCTTCCTCAATGGTCTTCAAATCAAGGTTGAGAGCCAAATCCTCAACTGAGACCTTAATGACGTCGCTTCTAACGCCAATATCAGTAGCATAACGACTCATACAGTACATACCAGCAGTAACAGTTGCCACACCAATGGGACTTGGAATCAGCAATTTGAAAGGTGAAGAGAGAAGTGCAGCCAAAGGAGCACCAACAATTGAAGAAGCTTGACCGCTTCTCCCTACACCACCGAGCTTATCCATTATAAGCAAACCCGTCTTGCAATAGAGCGCGAAATCCTCACAGTTGTTCTTGAAAATGTCGTAGTTGCCAAATCCGTTTTGGAGAAGGTACATTGCCCTGTGGATCACTGAATCAGTTGGATCAGATTGCGCGGTTGTGCAAGTACCTCCGCGGACTTTGGTTAGGAAAACCGATGGACTGACTCCATATTCGAAGCAGTAGAGTGAGCCGTTCTTGAGGAAACAGTCTAAGCAAGAAAGGACTACTCCACTGTCCGGTTGTCTGAAACCGCAATCAGGAAATATGGAACAAATATCATCAGAGGAAGATGACGATGATGACTCCATGGGGTTGTGTTCAGGTCTGAAATGAACAACTTTGGACCCACCGACAAAGATTCCTGCAAATATATTGCTCTCCACAATCAAATCAATAAAATGTCTACAACAGTATCCATTCATCAACAGAGGAAATTGGGATCAAATATGTCAATATACATAAATAAAGTCCACCAGAGACAAGAGAAGATGATGAATAACATCAAAATACAGGGCAAGGGTGAAGTTAGGTCATGCAAAGACTGAAATTAGAAAACAATGAAACAAAGTAAAGACCCTTGTCTTTAAGATCTTATCTAGATAAAGTCATCAACTTTGAGAATTTACAGTATCAATAACAAGATTAAATCGACCAGTAGAAACCAAAAGTCAAGACTTGCATTGAGGATAATATTAGACATACAAAAAAGAATCAGACTCTTTAATGTTATGATTGAATTATCGAGAAAGAAAGGAGCAAACTTGGGAAGAATGAATGAATCAAAAAGGTTACCGTGGTGAGAATAAGCGAAGATTGCTCTGTAAGTGTAGATGTGATCTCCTGCCTTTAACTCTTCTCTCTCCATCTTGTTCGTAAGGATACCCATTCTTCTTCTTCTTCTTCTCTCTCTTTCTGCACACAAAGCTTTTTTATTCCTTGCTTGTGGAAAATGCAGGAAACGGCGTTACAAGTGTGAGCTCTAACGGTGGGATCTGACGTCAGCGAGATAGCTAGGTAAGGTAAAGAATAAAGACCGTAAAGTAACGTTTTTTGGAGTGGCATATATGATTGGATAAACGAACTAGAGCTGTTGGACTGACCCGTTACAGAGTCTTTTAACGGCGTTATCTCCAAATCCAAATGCTACCAACGAGGTACAAAGTGTTGATGACGAATCGCTGATTTTCCGGGGCCTTTTGACCTTGATTCCAGACGAGGGTAATATGGTCATTTCATAGCTTGGTGGTGGTAGTTGAACTATCAAGTAAAAGTGTAAAACCAAACAGAAGCAAGAAGAGAACGACTTGGTCAAGTAGGCCAAGCAAAGGATTTTGTCTTCCACACGACATCGGTTTTAATTGCAACTCTAAATGATTCTTATGCTTTTATTTTTATAAAGGTCCAAAAAAAATATATAATCAATTACACTGTAACTGTGGAAAAAAAAAGGCAAAGATACACTGCATAAACTTTAAATACAGATGCTCCAGTTATAAACTTTGACATCAAACTCTGCATGTTCTTCCAATCTCTGTCTTAACTCCTTACCTTTCTCTGTGTCCTTAGCCAAAATAAGAGCGAATCCTCCACCACCTGCACCTACAAGCTTGAATCCTGAGCTATAAGGTTGCGAAAACGCGAAAAGCTTATCCACAAACTCATTGCTGCAATACGGATCCAGCTCTTGATGCAATCTCCAAGCTTCTGACATTATGTCGCCTAGCTCGTCAACTTCACAGTTCATTAATGCTTCTCTCCCGGATTTCGCCAGCTCGGTCAATCGCTTGATGCTTGAAATCAAGAGATTATCTCTTTGCAGATACCTTGTCACGACCTTGTGTAGGACTTGATGAGCAAGCCTGACCTGTTTTAAATAAAAGGCATGAACGAATGAGACTGTGTAGCTAACAAAAACTTTTCTTCCTCTCAGTTGTTGTTGTTGTTACTTACTTGACCCGTGAAAACAACGAGGAGGCGTTGCTCCAACTCTGAGATTAGCTGTGGCGAGGCGAGTAAAGGAACAACTTGAAGGCGCAAAGGAGTTCCGGGAAAACTTGAAGTGAATTTGATTCCTGGGTATAATCCACCAATCTGATCTTGCCAGCCACCTCCAGTACCCATGAGTTGCTCCAGAACCAAGACGAGCCTCGCAACGTTTTCATTGCTTTCATCTCCATCAGATATCTGGAGAAGTCCTGTCACAACAGCTGCAGCTAGAATACTCGAGGTTCCTAGACCACTACCACGAGGAACATTTGCCCATGTCTTTATTGCTAACCCTGTGGAGTCGACAAAGTTTTCTTGGACAATGCCTGTTACCAGAAGAGCAGATTTAACAAGCCTGAATGGATCATTGACTTCAAATGGTGTCTTGATACTTATTGGATCTTCGATGTGTAGCTCGTTTCCAGTGTCGTCTTGGATTGAGATTCCGATCTGATTTGTTGTTTCGATGATTGTGCCAATTGGAAGTGAACCTTCTAAGGTTATAGCCATGTTCAGGACGCAACCTGCACGCTCTAAACTCCATGGAGGTGTATCACTCCAACCTCCTACAAAATCTACCCGAACTGGTAGTTCAACTTTTGTCCTTTTTGGTTGAAAAACTCGATCCGGATGAGAAATATTGTTCTCGGAATGGGGCTTTCCACTTGATTCCAACAGATGTTCTGAAGAACAAATAAATGAAAGAGTCGATTCAGGTTTATCCATCAAAGAAAAGTGTTAGGAAACGATGGTCACTAGATTTTACCTCTAAAACCATATCTCACAGCTGAAGCAGTTTCTTCTGCAACTGCTCCCCAGACTTTATGCTCCAGGTCGATAGCTTTTGGCTCATCCCCACATGCTCGAAGAAGATCAACTTCTACCTGATATGCCCGACTCTTTGAAAGAATTTTGGAGTTTTGCTCCTGAAATTTGGGACATTGATCCAGAAAATTCTTGCATATTTCCAATCCTAATGACTCTTTCTGTAAAATCTCATGGCACAGCTGGGAAAAATTTCGCCCAAGCATACCATAGTTCATACATGCTTTAGCGATTCCAGCCGCAAGATCAGCTTGATGATTGCTGGAGCCATTGCACATCTCAGGAAAGTTTATTGATCCGTGCAACTCTTCTAAGCTTACACGTTGTGAGCTTCTCCACAAGGTAATCTTCTCCTTGTTTCTACTATCATCTAAACCCATCAACCACGACGCTAACTTCAGCATTTCACTATAAGTAAGAATCGGGAACAGTTTTGCATTCCACAAACACCTATCTTGTGCAACATACGAGCTCCAAAGGTCACTTTCCTCAATGCCAAGATCAAACAATACCTTCTCCAAGGGTTTACCGCAAAAAGTTCCATCTTTATGAATTGAGTTCTTTGGATTGTCATGGAGACCACAATACACAATCACTCTTCCCTTATGTCCCACCAGTGGGACCTCCCAAAGACAATGCCTATCCGGAAGCATGAACCTGAACCTCTCTGGAGTTCCAAGATCTTCGCTCGGGATGTGAATACCAACAACTATTGACTGAGAACCAATTTGTACAGCACCAGAAACTGTTGAATCATATATAAGTGAATCTTCACCAATGGAGACACCAGGTGCAATTTCACTAGACAAAATAACAGAAGATGCTGCAATATCAGAAACGGTGGTTGCAGGGATGGAACATAAGTGTCTTCGACCGACAATTCCTGAAGCATCTCCGCTTAAGTGATCCAATACCTCACTTGATGTTCCAAAATGCAAAAACTGCAAATCATCTGACACAAGATGATACAAATGGATTAGAAAAGTAACCATAGGTAATATCCAAATCTTTTCTAGTTTAACAAGTCATGAAATCAGTACAAACATACAGGTGCAGTAGCTGTACATCTTTTGCCTCCCCAGACTGTTAACAAGAAGTTCACCCAAAGGTCTGGCTCGCAGCCAATCATGCCTTGAAGGAACCCAAGCAGCCACCAAATCTTCATACAAACTCATCTGCAAAGTCAGAAAACCATTCCATTACAAAACATCTATAAGGGGCCAATGTCTGTTCAAGAACTACAATGTCAATCTTTAGGTATCAGCTGCATAAATATGAGAAACTTACCTCTTTCTTACTGCTTATAAGCTCTAAGATCATGGGTTGGCACGAGCATCCAAGAGCGACTAGGTCCAACCATGCTCTACCCTTTGCAGATATTATTCCAGTGTCAAGGAGCGTCCGTCCATCATGTAAGATAGCATCTTTCTTGACAAGCTCCTCTACTGTAGGCTTCTGCAGAAGATCATTCACTAAACTAACAGTATAGCTTTCAGCAAGGGACTCAGATTTGGATGTGACAATAACACCATGGTTGGAAGCAATATCGAGAGTGATAGGCACAGTAACTATAGAAGCTGCGTCTTCAGGTAGAGTCATTCTAAAAGCATCAAAACAAGGAAGGACGTCTCCAGTCATAATGAATAATCCACCTTCACAAATAAAATTCAAAAATCAGCATCCAGACATCCTTCTCTGTTTTACATTTGAATTATGTTAAAAAAAAGGAATTCACCTAGGTCTCTGAAAGCTTGTCTTGCACATGAAGCGATTGCAAGTATATGATCAAAAAGAAGAGGAACAGGACCATCAGGATCATCAGCAGCAAGATAAGGAAGTGGGAGGAATACTTTCCCCATAGGATTTGCCCAAGGAACCCTTTTGGAGTCACCACCAGCATGAAGCATCAATACATGCTTTGCAGAGAGGAATCTAACCCATTTGCAAGTACCATTTGCAACTTCCACCTGTTTGATTAATTAACATAAACATCAAATCACAACCACAATGCTATATACTGTATTGTCCAATAAACAGATCTGTTGGGTTGTGTTAGTGTGTTCAAGCTATGAATAATCTAACCTGTCAACACAATTTTACCTCGGGACCAGGATCAAAACCCAATTTCTCATAATGGCGAGCGAGAGCATAAATGGCGTTGAGAGTAGCAGCACCAGACCCGATCCGTTTGCCATCTGGATCAGGAACAGCTAAAGTGACAGTGGAGCTAGCTATTCGTCCCATCCGTTTCGCTCGCCGGAGCTGCCACTCGTAGAGCTCTGCCTGTTCAGGACTAGCCGCTGTGAGAACAATCGCATCCCAGGTTGGGACCCTAGTGGGATGGCGAACCGAGAGCCTTAAGTGGTACCATGACTTGCGCAAAACGGTGGCTAAGTCAGCTTTCTTCCTCTGCTTAGACATGTTCTTGCAAAGAAGACGAAGAAGAAGAAATGTGAGAAAATGAAATCTGGAGGTTTAGTGGACAGAGGAAGAAGACGAAGCAAGTTTTGTTTTTTAAAACAGACGGATCGGGTCAAAGTCAAAGACCAATGCAATCAATACGTTGTCGTGTTTGGATCTGAATCTCAAAAACCAGAAATTTATTTATTGTTCTACCAAAGATGAATGCTTTGCACACATTGCATTCCTGTTACTTGGATATTGGATCAAAATTCGGAAAATTACAGAAACTCGTGAGCTAAGGACACAAAGAAGCAGAGTACATAACAGAGGATCTGCAAAAGGAGGAGGTGATCATCATCATTATTCATTCCTCACGCCAAGTGAAGTCGCACTTCAAGCATCTATAAAATCTTGATTCTGGCTCATCCGCTGAACGAATCTGCATTGATTTGAAGTATGCCTTGTCGTGCCCGCACCTTGGACATGGAGCTGTTAAAACCAAACAATCCCAACATGAGAAAGAAAATTGAAACAACAAAGATCTACTCTACTCTTTCCCCAGTGAGGAAGATGCTCTAAAGAGTCAAGTTCAACACTGACACTCACAACCCTAAAAACTCTTTATTACCATTGTTCTAGTTAGACTAAAAGATGTGTAACAGAGCATGGACTAAACTAATATACCTTCAGTTTCAGCGGCTGTGGGTATATCATCTTTAGTCACAACAGGTTCTATAGATTTCTTAACCAGAAGTTGCTTCTTCTTTATCTCCACCTGTCAAAATTCCGAAAGCAGTCAGGAACAGAGGAGAGATTTAACGATTTACTCAAAAACCTCCAAAGGGTTTTGTTTTGTTTTGTTTTGTTTATAATTGAGAAAGTAAAAAACCTGTCTTTCGACGTAGGCGACATATGGACATGTGGAACAGAAGAATCTCGAGTTCCCACTTCCCTCGTAACGCAACAGATTCCCACATGTAGGACAAAACTCCATCTTCCACACACGATCTATTCGCCGCTGCAAAATCCCCCACATAATCAATTCATAAAACTACGAAATAGATAGAGAGAGAGAGGGAAGGGTTGTTTCTCATACATTGTTATACTGTATCAGCTCCGGGATATCAATCCCTCCGTCGCCGAGCCGCCGCTTTTGCTCTCTCTCTCGTCTCTCGCCGTTTTACAGAATTTTTAAGGTTCGCAATTTTTGGTTTTCGATTTTAATCCCAATCTTCTGATTCTTCAACATTCTGACCCCTCTTTTTTTTTATTAGGAGACACTATAATTGCTTCAGCCCAACTTTTATGGGCCTAAAAGATAACATCTCGCTAAATGAATAACGAATAATTTAGCAACTTTGAATGTTGATGTCAAGCTGACCTTACCGGTTTTATGAGTTTAAGGTCAGTTATCATTTAATGCTTATATTTTTTTTTTTTTTTTGATAAAAGTTGTAATGAAACATAAGAAGGAGAAATTTTACTAGCATCTTTCGTTAAATGCATAATAGTGTCACAACTCACAAGTTAACATGCGTAAACCCTTATAGCTTAGCGAAAATAGAAACCAGAAAACAACTTTACCGTGTATATATATATTGAAATCATTTCTATACCATTCACATATGTCCAGTTAGTCATTCGTTATAGATGTTGTCTTAATTGAAAACAACAAATAAGTAACAATCAATTGGTTTATTCTTTTCATATAACTCATATAATACGCTACAATCAATAAATTTATCTTTTCAGCAACATCATATAAAAAAAATTAAAGAAAGGGACAAAAAAAAAAGGCAATAAATTTCATACATGAGGTAGAAGTAGACAACAACCAACAATTGATGGAGCATAAGAGCTTTTTTAGGTGGTCTCCAGACAAATTGTGGGTTTCATGTTGAATCAATAAATTGATTTAGCAAAATAATATCGTTTTTTCAATTATGTCGGTCCATGCCCGCAGGCCACAGCTATATTAAACATTTAGAATTATATAAAAGCTAATTAAAATCATGCACAGAGCATTGTTGCTGTCTTCATATTACACTTTAGGATACTTGATATTTAATTTCGGTTTGGGTTATCTCGACGACTAAAACCAAACCAAATTTACGACATTTTGGTTTGTAGCAGTTCTAGTTTTAAAATTTGGTCTCGAATGGTTATGCGTTTTCATCCTTACAACAGTTTGAATCCAACCAATCTCACCAAGTGGTTCAGATTTTTTTGTTAATTCGGTTTGGTTTAGATTGGTTAGGTTTACCCGTATTGAACCATATATAACCAAAATCAACTCAAAACCATTTTCTTCTCCTTTCTCTGTTTCACTAACTCCCACTTTACTCAAAAGAGACTCAAAAACTTTAGTGTTTTCTTCATCAGCCCAATAAGGCAATAATGAACGAAGAGATGAGCGGTGAGTCGCCGGAGAATAACAAACACGTAAAGGAACCGACGATGCCGGAAAAGATCGATTACGTGTTCAAGGTGGTTGTCATTGGAGATTCTGCTGTTGGGAAAACGCAGCTCCTCTCACGTTTTACGCAGAACGAGTTCTGTTATGATTCAAAATCAACCATTGGTGTTGAGTTTCAGACAAGGACCGTCACTCTTCAGGGCAAACTCGTCAAAGCTCAGATCTGGGACACCGCCGGTCAAGAAAGGTTATATCTACTATATCTAAACACATTGATAATTCTTTACATATTTTATTAAGCTGTATCTCATTTTTGGATTCAAATTAATTGTTTAGAGTAAAATTTATTTTTCTTGGATCATGGTAATTTAGATAGGGTGTTTTGATTTGATTTTGTAACTATATATTTTTTTAATAGAATTTTTTTGGTTAAAGAATAGTATATGGATTTGAATAACCATTGGTGCTCTTGATTTGGTTAATACAATGTCAGATTTCTTTTCTGTATTTTTGTTTTTGTCTTTTTGCAACCACTTAGATCAAAAGGTCAAATGCATTAACTCACCGAATAATTTGATGATTAAGTAAAACTTTATATTTTTCTTACCCATGCAATTGTTTCATTTTTTTTTTTTATCTTTGATTAAATAAATGTTTAAGGGGCTATTACATAGATGAAAATGAAATAAAACGTGAGTTTTTCCATTTATTTTCTTAACATATTTTTGTTTCCATAGTTGCATTATATAAAGAACAAAGAAATTGCGGTTGTTAACATTGATAATTCTTTATAGCATGAATCTCAGATTTGGATACAAATTAAATGTTAAAATAACCTAAGTAGAGTTGAATTTCATTTTGTTATCTAGGATCACGATATTTTAGTTAATGGATTTAAATAATTATTGGTTTTCTTGATTTGGTCTGCAATGTCAGATTCTGTTATAATTTATTCAATTAAAGATATATGTTTCTTTACTCTGTTTTCCGGCGATCAGATACAGAGCCGTGACGAGCGCCTATTACAGAGGTGCGTTAGGTGCGATGGTGGTTTACGACATTACCAAACGCGTCTCATTCGACCACGTGGCACGTTGGGTTGAGGAATTACGTGCTCACGCCGACGATTCGGCCGTGATCATGCTCGTCGGAAACAAAGCCGATCTCGCCGTTGATAAACGCGCCGTTCCTACGGAGGACGCCGTCGAATTCGCTGAGACTCAACGGCTTTTTTTCTCGGAAGTCTCGGCATTAAGTGGCGGAAACGTCGACGAGGCTTTTTTCCGTTTACTCGAGGAGATTTTCAGCCGCGTTGTTGTTTCGAGAAAAGCTATGGAATCTGACGGCGGAGCCCCCGTGAAGCTTGACGGTTCGAGGATTGATGTGATCTCTGGTTCGGACCTTGAGATTAGTAAGATCAAGGAACAAGCTTCGTGCTCGTGTTGAATGTTGAGTGATGGGCCAGAAAACCAAAACACATAAAGCCAATTATTGGGCCTTCTTTAAGCCCACATATGACTCAGGATCTTTGTTTGGCTTTTCATATTACGGGTGGTGCTTATAGTTGCTAATTGCTATCAAAAAGCTATTCATGTGTCATTCGTAAGCTCTTTGACATTCTTGTATATGTAAAGGAAAACACAATTCTTTTATTCTGTCAAGTTCTAAGGAGTTCTATTCCATCAAAATGTTAAGTAATAACTAGAGTTTTATAATTTCTACTGTAAGGAAATTTTTTAAAAAAATATAAATTATATGGTACAGGAGCGGATGCAGTAAGAGAGTGGGGGTGGCAGCATAAAATATACAAAAGTTTTTTTTTTCTTTAAGAAATAAACAAATTCTTTAGCTGAAATAGCATAAACTAGTACTCTGCCCCCCTTAAACCTGAGTTCAAATCCCACTAATGCTCCATTTTCTCTGGTTTTTTAGGTGATTTTGTATTATGCCCCGGGTAAAAATATTTTCTAGATACGCCATTGTATGATAGTGAAATGATGGAGATTTTTTTCTAAGATTATTGTGAAATGATCAAAACTACAATAAGTTCATTAAGTAGATATTTTCGTGACATCAATTGTGAGTGTCACGTTAGAATCTGGAATATAATCCATATCCAACGGAAGATATGATTCTATATATTTGTTGCATGCAACCGAATAATTTGAGGTGCTCCAATCACAAACTCGCTTTTTATCCCCCAAGACCTAAAAAAAGGGTATTTATTATATAATCAAATATATATAAAATAAAGCACATAAACATTTACATTGTATCTAAGCACATATGATTAATCGGCCACCAAGTGCTTTGTGACTACTTAGTTTTCTATGCCGATACCTCTGTTATGTGTAAAGTTACTTATTAGTTGTTTAATGTTTGTTAGCAAAAGAAATATTCTTATAATAACAAATGTAAGTTACTTTATTTGGATTTTTATATATTACAATAAACGATGCATGTCATCAAATTAAGCCTAGTTATCTGTATTACCTGACGTAAACAAATATTATAAATGAAAACTAAGTAGCTAAGACCGGTTTTGAGTAGTTTGGATTCTTTTTTTTTTTTTTTTGATCAACGAAGAAGTTTGGATTCAGGGTCATAATATTAAATTTCGGTGGTCGTGAATTATTGTTTTGAATATAAATTAAACACTTCGATTATCTATTTTATAAAAGAGGTCACGATATCTTGGGGAGGTCGAGGCTATTAAAAAATCAGATTTAGCCTTGATAGTAGCTTAGTAAGCTATGTGTTATTTACAACGAAACTTAACATGTTAGAATTTTCTTCTATTTAATCTATGTATATGTTGGGAAGAAAAAAAAAAGCATATATAAGTTGGAAAGTATATATGTAATGCCGTTAAGAGAAAAAGAAACTATGTCGAAAAAAAAAAAAAGAGAAAAAGAAACTATATAAAAGTAGATGATTAAGAGGAAAGGTCGTTGACTAGCGAAAGGAAAATTGAAAACAGTCAATGGGAAGCAATTTGCAGGAGAAAAGTCGTACGTTCACAACTTGCAAGGAGACTCATCAGAAAATTGGCATCTTTGAAAATAATAGTAGTAATTACGTATACATGTTATTTACTTATTTTATTGTTTTTGTTATTTAAGCACTACATTTAGATATGCAATTACTTTATTAAGATGCATATATACTCACATTAGCATATAAAAATCATTATTCATAAACCGTACTATTTTATATACGTTTGCCGGTATGCGTTTCCTTAGAAAAGTAGTTATAGAGATATAGAATGCTCATCAGACATCAATATATAAATAATTATAATAAATTAAAGAAGGAGACCATTATTAGACGATAGTACTGTTCTTAGACTATACTTGTGTTTTTTTAGATTAAAATTCCCTGGAGGGATATAGTAATTTGAGTGTACCAAACATGTCATGACATATACATATAGTCATAGATGACCACAAGCGTATATTGGGTTATTACTTATTAGCATATACCCTTGAGCACCAACAAATAACTTTGAAAATAAATATTTAAAATTTCAAGTATTCTCTGTTTTGCAATTGGCTAAGATCTTCATCATTCGCACGTCTATTTAAATCCTCACAAAGACCCAAACATAAATCACAACCTATAAACGGAAAAAATCACATATAGAAAAAAAAAAAAAAAAAAGGAACATTTATCCTATCCATAATGTTATCTCTCAATATGAGAACCGAAATAGAAAATTTGTGGGTATTTGCTCTTGCATCAAAATTCAATATTTTCATGCAAGAACATTTTGCTTCCCTTCTTCTCGCCATAGCTATCACTTGGTGTACCTTAACCATCGTATTTTGGTCTACTCCGGGTGGACCGGCTTGGGGAAAATACTTCTTCACTCGCCGGTTTAGTTCTCTCGGTCATAACCGAAAATCCAAGAATCTCATTCCCGGTCCTCGAGGGTTTCCACTTGTGGGAAGCATGAGCCTTAGGTCAAGCCACGTGGCTCATCAGCGCATAGCGTCAGTGGCTGAGATGAGTAACGCCAAGCGGCTCATGGCGTTTAGCCTCGGCGATACTAAGGTGGTGGTGACGTGTCATCCTGACGTGGCGAAAGAAATACTAAATAGTTCGGTTTTTGCAGACCGGCCGGTTGACGAAACCGCTTACGGTTTGATGTTTAACCGAGCCATGGGATTTGCTCCCAATGGTACTTACTGGCGTACACTGCGTCGGTTAAGCTCGAACCATCTTTTCAACCCAAAGCAAATCAAACGCTCGGAGGAGCAGAGAAGAGTGATCGCGACTCAGATGGTGAATGCGTTTGCACGTAATGCTAAATCTGCGTTTGCAGTGCGTGATTTGCTCAAAACAGCGTCGTTGTGTAACATGATGGGGTTGGTTTTTGGGAGAGAGTATGAATTGGAGTCAAATAACAACGTGGAATCGGAATGCTTAAAGGGTTTGGTTGAAGAAGGGTACGATCTTCTCGGTACGTTAAACTGGACCGACCATCTCCCTTGGTTAGCCGGTTTAGATTTCCAACAAATCCGGTTTAGGTGCTCCCAGCTCGTACCGAAAGTAAATCTGTTACTGAGCCGTATCATTCATGAACACTATGCCACCGGTAACTTTCTTGACGTGCTACTTTCACTTCAACGTTCAGAAAAATTATCAGATTCAGACATAGTTGCTGTTCTTTGGGTAAGTTTTTTCTTTTAAATCCGTATATAAAACCATTGTTTAGTTTGATATAAAAACTCGGTGGTGTTTCTGTGTATTTATTCATAAACACGATAACTAATTTTCGTATTATTTTAATAAGCACAAAAATCTGATGGATTTTTATGGAAATGATTATGAACATTTATCTTACAATTAAAACTTTTTTGGTCCGTTAGGAAATGATATTTAGGGGAACGGACACTGTTGCGGTTTTGATCGAGTGGGTCCTAGCGAGGATTGCGTTGCATCCCAAAGTTCAATCAACGGTCCACGATGAGCTTGACCGAGTCGTTGGCAGATCAAGAACCGTCGATGAGTCAGACCTCCCATCCCTCACGTATCTAACGGCTATGATCAAAGAAGTGTTGAGGCTGCATCCACCAGGCCCACTTCTTTCTTGGGCACGCCTCTCTATAACAGACACCACCGTAGACGGATATCACGTGCCGGCTGGGACCACCGCGATGGTCAATATGTGGGCTATAGCACGTGACCCGCACGTGTGGGAGGATCCTTTAGAGTTTAAGCCTGAGAGGTTCGTGGCTAAAGATGGTGAAGCCGAGTTCTCTGTTTTCGGGTCGGATCTGAGGTTGGCGCCGTTCGGGTCGGGTAAGAGGGTTTGCCCTGGAAAGAATTTGGGGCTTACGACGGTGTCGTTTTGGGTTGCAACGCTCTTGCATGAGTTTGAGTGGCTTCCAAGCGTCGAAGCTAACCCTCCAGATCTCTCGGAGGTTTTGAGGCTCTCGTGCGAGATGGCGTGTCCTCTTATCGTTAACGTAAGCCCAAGGCGTAAGAGCGTGTAATGGATTTGGACTTTGGTCAGTGCATGGATGTTTCAAATATGAATTGTTGAAATGACGTTTATTAAATAAATCTTGAAGGAAAGAAAAGAAGAAGCAAACATGTATCCTAGCGAAGTAGATTCGCCCACCTTTTATTGATTAGATTATATGAATGTATATGTCTTATGTGAAATAAATATATCGTATGTTACGTGAATTTAGGATTTATGAGTATATTTAGCATTTGTAAATTATTATCTTCCGGATGATGGGCTTGATCGTAAGATGTTTCGGCTTTAAAAGTTAAAACCAATCGTTTCATTTGTTTCAGCTTGGGGTTCAATCATATTGTGTTATTAGCGATGGTTCCGGCTCGAATGATAATTTGTGATAAATTAAGAACAAAATTTCTGTGAAAATGATTATTGGAGAAGTTTTATAATTAACAAACTACATTACATCACTAACTGTAATAGATGTAAACTGTTTGGCTGTACGTAAATAGGTATAAAAGGTTATAAAATGTTCGAAATATGTAAATTACCAACAAAAAAAAAAGAAAAAAAAAAAAAAGAAAGAAATATGTAAATTACTTACAGTCTACTTGTCTTAAAATCAATTTAACTGTTATCCGAGGAATCATTCCACTTAGCTAAAATAAACTAAACTATCGTTTGCGTGTTGACGATTAACGGAATAACTTCTCCAAATATAACTTATATTTTACTCCAAATTGTTTGGACATCCTTAACTTGCTGCGAAATTTCTCATAAAGAACTCAGTCAAGAGACATAACGATTTTATATAATATAATGAAGTATTCGATTTAATATTAATCGATGTCGTCTTGGAGTGTTCGACTTGTTCAGTGTTTCTGACTGGTTTCCGACTGTTCAATAACATGACGTCACTAACTTGTATTATGGACTTATGAAACGTTAAATATTTAGTTATTGAGCAATGTATAAGTGTTGTACATAAACATTCGATAATTTGGAAATACAAATTATCCAATAAAAAAAAAAAATTGAAATGCATATGAAATTTTTTGTGGTAATGAGCCCAAGTTGTAACTGGGTTTGTAAATATGAAAGAAAGCAATATTAATTGGGCCGTTTATGATATTAAAGCATCAATATGGGTTAAGCCCATTTATCATTTCATTTGTTGTCAACGCCTTATTTACATGTGAATCAATCATAAAGCGATATAGACGATATTACACGAAAATAGCAATAGATCAGAGCAACCTACAAAAACTGACTTGACGGCATTCTCATCTTCCTCTCCCTTGTCATCGGTAGTGTGTTCAAAATTCCAAACTCAATGGTAGCAACTAAACACGAGATTCAAACGAGCAAAAGATATATAGACAACTCAAAAAAAATCTATAGACAACTAATAGTGACAAACTTGCAAGTATGGCATAAAGGACAAAGAAACAGCGAGACTTTTATATGAGGAAAGGCTAAGGGGGTACTATTTGAAATATATATAGTATCACAATTTAACAATTTTTGTTTGCAAGTCGAATTTAAATGTTGCATAATGGACAATGAAATAGATAACAATAAAAGATGTTACACCTTAATAACATGAAACAAATTAACATGCAAAACTATTTGCAATAGTCTCATTTGTACTCCCTTATTACTTTATGTGATGTGTATAGTTTTGATTTTTGAGGGAGAATTTCGGTGTACAAAAATATTCATGGCTGGATTATATCTATTTTAAAAAGTTTATATTTAAACCGTAATGAGAGAAGCCTAAATTAATTGTAAAATTTCGAAGATCCAATAACACATGGTCAAAGATAAATCTTGGTCAATCAGGTTAGCTTTTCACATACTCTCTGTTGCAAAATATAAGGTGTTTTAGCTAAAAACACGCCGATCAAGAAGATTTACTTTTTAAAAGTTCAGTCAATCATAAAATAAACTACATAGTAGAAATAATCATAAAATATTAAAGTAATATATATTTTACATAAAAACTTGAAAACACTTATATTGTGAAACAAAAAAGTTTCTCCAAAACATCTTATTTTTAAAACGGAGGGAGTAATTATCATTGAGTCGAACAATAATCATGAAGAAGGCAGTAATGGCCTTAGTATACTACCACAAACTTTACCCAAAAAGAAAAATAAAAACCTTTTTATATAATACATCTGTTGGTCAAACTTTTCAGTCAAATTTATAAGAAGTTTGGAAAAGTCAAATCAAAATACAATTTCCCGTGATGTGAAATATACATGGTGTCATGGTGAGTCTATATGCTATAGTTTTCGACAGTAAGCTATTGATATTATTCATTTCTTTTAGGAAAAAAAATATTCAGCTACACAAAATATAACGAAATACATGGCTACACATGTCAAGTTTAGAAATGTACAACCAACTACACGAACTAAATATATTGCATGCCCACATATACCAACTATATGACGACATGTAGTCAACATCACGAACATCTTATTCCGGTACACCAATCGTTGAAATCCGGCGTTGACCATCGTTGACTGGCATTGACCAACAAAAATATGCAAAAAAATTATTTTTATTTATTTTAATATTAAAAACAAAACTAATACATATTAAATTCAAAATAAAGATATTTTGTATATATATTTAATATATTGATTATTATAATTAGTTAGTTTTTTCAATTTAAAAACTAAAATAAAAGTGAAATAAAAATAATTAAGCGAATTAATTATTTGTACATTGTCAATAAAAAACATTAACTTCTTATTTTACAAATGCTTTTGCTAAAATCAACATCGTTAGATTTTCTATTTTCTATATATTAAAAAGAAACATTGCGAATTTTTTTGTTGTTTACGCGTTATTACGAGAATTTGTTTTAATAATTTTAATTACAAAAATTTAACAATATATTAAATTTAGACTAAAGAATATATAAAATTTTCTATATATCTTTTTTATGTATTATGATTTTGATTTTAGCAAAAAACTTTATATATTTTTACCATGCAAAATTTAGACTAAAGAGTCATATACTCAATTTTTTGTAATAGAATTTATTTATTTCGCTTTTAGTTTAGTTTTGAAATTGAAAAAATTAACTAATTATTATTATCATACAAAATATATATATTTTAAAAATATAGAATGTGTTTTTTTTTTATTATTATTATACAACACCATAACCGATTCTATAGAATAATTCTTTTTAAAAACATTTAAAATAAATAAAAATATATATTTTTGAATATTTTTGTTGGTCAATACCGGTCAACGATGGTCAATGCCGAATTTTGATGATTAGTGTACCGGAATAAAATGTTCGTGATGTTGACTACATGTCGTCATATAGTTGGTATATGTGGGTATGCAATACATTTAGTTCGTGTAGTTGGTTGTATATTTTTAAATTTGGCATGTGTAGCCATGTATTTTGTTATACTTCGTGTAGCTGACTATCTTTTTTCCTTTTTTTTAACCAAATTATCCTATTTCATTCTCTTATATATTTACATATAAGAAAAAATAACAAAAATAATGTATGATTAGAGCGAAAAATGAGTTTTTTGTTACAAAAATATATACTACTTTAGATAAGTTTTCTTTTAACTAAATGTTCTTAAACCTTCAACGGCCATTACTTCTTCGGCGAGGGACCAATTTATAAATATATATATATGCAAGATTGTAAACCGTCTATCAACAAAAATGCGTAGTCGAGAACAAGGAATCAATCCCTATTTCAAAAATAAATAGAACTATTTTGTTGATCAACAAAATTAATGAACTGGTATTATATACTTCGGATAATAACATCAAAATAATACTATCGAAAATTTGCAAGCATCAACAGAGTATCATTTGAAAATGGATGCCATTATAGACGTATAGTTATTAATGGCGAAGAGCTACGAGACAAACATGCCTAAGAAATTGACAGTCCTTTGTATTTATTACGTTCCTAATTACAATGCTACGTAGATGTCGTAGCCAGACCTGTATTCTCCAAATAAATAAATCAATAATGATAAATATGTCGATACTCATATAATGTAAGGACTACCAAGTATTTAAAACCAATAATGATAATTTGAATTAAAAACATGGGTTGAGATTTAAACATGGTCCAAATCCGGAGCATCGTCTTCTCCGTTTGTCATTAATCACAATATTTATGCTTCATAATATATAATTGATTTAATCATCTGTTTTAAGGTACATAATGTTTACTATTAGATCACTCTGGTTTAATTGGTACTATTAAACTAATCAAATTGGAATACAATAATATTTTAAGTGAAAAAAAATTCCCCACGCCAGAAAGAAACAACAACATGGCTTCACGTTGTAAACAACTCCCCGAAAACTTCCAACTAGCTAAGCTTAAACCTATTTCTACTTATTATATCCGACATATATTTAAGCCATACTAAATTAATACAAAAAATGATATTTTCAGTTTTTCTTTGCATAAAGTAAAAATTGACGGTCACCAATTTAAATCCCTTGTGTGAACAAGAAATGATAGTTGATGTCATCAATCCATCTAATAATTAAATTTATCATGTTTTTTTTTTTTTTTTTTAATTTGATCAATTAATTACAAATCCGTAGAGATAAAGATGAAGACTCGAATCGAATGTATATATATGGTTTCATATATTTATGTTTTTGGCAGCCTGTGGTTTCATATAAGTATCAAAATTTTACAAATTGAGCGAAAAGATGTTTATAATTAATGAAGTTGGTAGGATACCTAAAAAGCGATGCAAAATTAATTTGAAAATATTTTGTTTCCTAACTGGTCATCCTCAATTTACCCAACCACTCTTCTGACTAACTTCTATTGCCTTCTTTATTTCGCAATTCAATAATAGACTAGACTCTCTCATATATCCACGTATATATATTATATATATGTACAAAACTACAAATTGATTTTATTTTTGGCTCACCAAAAAAGTTATGGGTGAAAATTTCATAGTCTAAAAAACCACAAGTTGCTGAATTTGTTTTACAAAATTGACCAAAAGCTGTTTCAAATGAAGATTTTATAGATTTTCTTACCAAGTCCGTTGATAAGTTACAAATCATAATCAAAATCAATTTATTTCTTGCCAACTTAAACGTGTGACGTGTCACCTCATTCGAAAATATAAGCATTAACTGTGTCATTGATATAAAATAAAATAAAATATAGTTTTTTTAAAAGCTAGGGTTTAGGAATGACGACTTGTTTCTGTT